ACATAAGTTATACAAGGACCGCAGTATTCTGACAGACAGGACAATTCAGCACAACAGACCTGATATTACTCTTTGGGACAAATCTGCAAAGAAAGTTTGGTTTATTGATGTTGCAGTCGTCAATACCAGCAACATGATGACAACATACCAGACTAAAATCGACAAATGCAGAGAACTAGTATTTGCCGTAAAAGAACAATAGCGAGTGTCAGAAGTGAAAACTATCCCAATTGTACTATGAGCAACTGGCGTGATACCAAAACCTTTCTTCAGATCGCTGGAAGAAATCTGCTTGGAGAAGAGCATTATCATTGGCCTCCAGAAGTCGGTTATAATCAGTACCTGCTCACTAGCCGGGAGATTCATGGGAGGCCATATTGGGTTTTGAAAGCTCATTCTTGAAATTGTATTTGTCATAGGCATTTGAAAACTTATTTTATGTTTACAATCTGAAAACAGTTATTTTATGTTTATGTGTTAGAATGCCTTAATTTGTTTTGTAGATTTTAAATATGTATGTGTGCTTTAATATTGTATGTATGCTTTAATATTGTATCTGTGTGGTATCCATGTGAAACCAAAAACTTTGAGAATGAACAAAATAATAATAATCCCCCGAGTGGTGCTGGGGATTTTAGTAGAATAGCACCACGGGACCTCCCCCTGTCGTAGAAGACGACTAATCGGAGCAGCTGTTCGCTGTCACTCCCCCAAACATCCCGTCATTCCCACAAACTTGGTGTGTCATTGCTTCCACTTGTGGCACACTTGTTTTCTGTCCTGTAGGCCAATCTTCGTATCGGCCAACCCTTGTGTTTCCGACCTCGACGCTATTAGATTATGAGGGCTAGGGAGTCGTTTCCATTCTACTCTACTATTCTAATTCTGTTCTTCACTGACCCCCTTCTCTTCTTCCGTTTCCTTTTAGCTGGCGGTAGCTCAAAACCGCTAGGGGAAGGTGACTCCGAAACGAAACCCGCGATGGAAGGTCCCTTAGGATCAACAGTTACGGTACAGGGGATCGGAGCCCCAGTGCCGGCAGACGGGGGTGGGTAAGCAGGCCGTGGGCAAGCAGGCCCCCGGCGATCGTCAACCAGCGACTGCAATTTCAGAGACGTGGACCGCTTGGCGTCTCTGAAATACACTGTTACAAGCGAAGGCCTAGAGGGGCCTAACCCCATTTCTGGGAAGTCGAAACTACAGAGATCGCCTCCAAGTACCCCAACCACTCCAAGGATACCTACCGACCAGCGGGAGCGAAATACAAACTCGATTGCGGAACACAATGGCGCTGCGAGGGAGAGACTAGGACTTGAGACAGGAAATGGACCCGCAGAAGAAATGACCTCAACGAGTGTTTTGATGAATAAATGGGAAGACCATACACCAACTGGAAGAACAGCAGATAACAATCATTGGCAGAGGCAACAGATGTCACTTATGTCGCCACAGAACACCAGGAGGGAGACGATTGGGAAGGATTGCTGAAACCACCGGAGCAAAAGAAGAAAGAGGCAAGAGAAGAAAAAAGAAAAGAGAAAGTGAAAGCCAAAGAGGGACAGACATATACCGATATACTCGCAAAGATGAAAAGCGCAGTGGATCCAAAAGATCACAACACAATCGTTAAGAAAATAAGAACTCAGAAACAGGATCTACTGATTGTCCTTGGCAAAGAAGAGAACACATCATCATTTAACAAAGCACTGGTAAAGGCAATCGGGGAGAGTGCTTTAGTCACACCAAAAACCCTAGTAGAAATTAGAGATATTGACGAGACTGTTTCAGCAAATGACGTAATTGGTGCAATCGGGAGGGTCCTAGACACACCGACCGAACAAATAGGCATCTCGTGCAGACTTTATAAGGGGTTTGCAAGCACACAAACAGCGACAGTCTTGCTACCTGCAGATCTAGCCTCACAACTTCTGAAGAATGACAAGAGTAAAATAAAGATGGGATGGGTCAACTGCCAGATGCGCGAGAAGCAACAAGTAACAAGATGCTTCAAATGCCTACATTTTGGACACATATCCACCAACTGCCTGGATCCTGACCGTAGAAATACATACTTACAAGTGCGGAGAAACAGGGCATCAGATAAAAGACTGCAGTAGGACACACAAATGTGTCATCTGCAAGGATAAAAATCTAAATGATGGCCACATGCTAGGAAACAGAAAATGCTTCTCATTTAACGTCGAAATAAACAAGGAAAGTAAGCGACAAAATAATGTTCCTACAAGTTAACCTAGGAAGGAGCAAAATCGCACAAGATTTACGTGTACAAGTTGCAACTGAAAGAAACGTGGATTTGTGGAATGTTAGCGAATAACCGACAAAAGCACGTGGTACGATATGTATCAGGATGCTGCTGGAAGAGCCGGCATAATAATACATAATAAGACGCTGAATATCAGGAACCACAAGAGAACGAAATACGGGTTTGTATGGCTGAAAGTGGGTAATATGAGAATGTTTATCTTTTTTTTCACCGAATGATACAGAAGAAAAATTTCAGAAAGATATCGATGAGCCGACTATCTTGAAAACGTCTAAGCGCAAGGTATAAGTGGCAGGCGATTTCAACGGTAAGTCTTCCGAATGGGGAGACATACCGATAGAAGATGCACTATCATATGTGAATTCATTGGAAGAAATTATCTGATTATCTTAAAAACTGGAGACGAGTACACCTTTCAACGTGCAATCGTTGAAACATCGCATCGTCCATTTTGGATTTGACAATAAGCTCCATCAAGCTAGCTAAAGGCATCACTGATTGGTCAGTGCTTTATGAAGAAACCCTGAGTGACAATCGGTACATAGGATATTCGACTCCATTAACGGAGGGGCTGCAACATGTCAAAACGTGATATAAAGGAAGACCACCTTGGAATCCCAAAAAATTGAATGAAGACAAGGCAAAACGCTCCTTGGAAGAATCCAGATTGCTGGTTAACATGGGTTCGATGAAAGAGGCGGAAACGCTTGAGGATATGGTCAAGGCAACGGAGGAAATAGTGGTAGCAGCTTGCGACCCATGCCTAGACGTATATGTCCGAAGAGGAAACAGCAATGTATTGGTGGACACCAGAAATAGCCAAACTATGAAGGAACTGTAACAAGGCAAGAAGAATAGCGACATGGGCCAAGACGAATCTGCACCTCAGGGAGCAGTATAAAGAACTGTCCAAGCGGCAAGAGAAAAATAAAAAGAAGTAAAGGCAGATGCTGGAAAGAGCTCTTAGAATAGATAGATAACGACCCATGGGGCATGGCTTATAAATTGTAAATAAGAAATTCAGGATGGACTAGAAGATACCTGGATCATATGGATATGTGGATCATTCAGATCCACAATGAATGAGGAATGCTATCAAACTATCTTTCCCACTAAAGATCCTTGGACGAGACAGAGACAGAGAGACTTCGCGGTTGACGCAGCAGACTATTTCACGATAGACGAACTGAGGAGAGCGGCAAAAAGCATGAAAACTGGTAAGGCCCCAGGTTTCGATGGAATTCCCTGTGAAATACTAAAAATAGTGGCACAGGAGTATCCGGAATGCCTTTTGTCAATCTATAACCGCTGCCTTGATGATGGGAAATCCTTCAAGACGCGGAAGAGACAAAAGACATTTGTCGTTTGACGTTTGCAATTTTTATAATTCAATTCATTCAATTCAATTATAAAAAATGCAAATGCCTATGGGAATATGGGGATTAGAAGAGCCAAATATTTTAGTAGAGAACTGTATTGAGGACTTTCCTGGATTTCTGTTTCTCATTTTTAATCAAACATTGAAGATTCAGTCTTTACTTCATTTCTGGCTACCTTTGGATTCTTCTTTTTTTATTGTTATAAAATAAAATATTGTTGTGTAATTTTTTGTTTAATTATTTAGATATGATCCAATGATGTCATTAAAAAACTGCACTTATAAACTATGAAGTAAATGTGATGGCTGTAATGCCCATGTTGGGGCCGCGAACCATTGGGAAAATTGGCAATTAATAATTATCTAATAAGAAGATTATAACATTCCCCTAGAAATACCTTGTGGATAGGCTGAGGATCATTCCCTAGTGGTTAAACATGCACATGCTAGCCATTACCCCCCCCCCCCCGGGTTAATGTAAACTAGTTGATCAGTAGAAATCACTAGTAGATAATCATACAGTACAAATCACTTTTAATGATGTCACCTTTAGTGAAGAACCATATATAATGAGGGAATTCTGAATTGTAATTTATATTTCCATAAAAGCATTGGAAAATAGTACTGGTTACAGCAGCATTCACGTTAATTACATTGCATATTACAACTTGGTTTCGTTGACGAACATGACAAGTCATTTGTCTTTCACCAATGAGTTCTGGGTTCAATTTCCAGACAATATCATGTGAAATTTGTTCCAACAAAATGAGTTTGCCTGCTTCACAGATACTAGTCCAATCTCTGAAGCACCATAAACTCTACCGCTGTTCAAATTCCTTCCGAACTCTGGCCGCTGTGTAGAGGCACAGAAGCATATGTGGTGCGAGAGGCACAGCACGTATACGGAGATGCTACCTGGTAGTCCTCTTGACAACAGACTACTGACAGAATTATGGACTACTCCACAGTAATAATGGATAATTACTCCAAGTGAAGGCAAGGAAACCAGGTTTAACAGAGGATTACTCCAGAAAGTGCCCTCCACCAAATAGTTGGCTTAAAAGATAGACATTGCCACAGTAAAAGTGGCAGAATTAAAAAAGAACTATTGGATGTAACAACCAAAATAAAATGGTCTTTTGAAAGGCATTATAAACAAAATCAAATGTATCTCCTTTTACAGAAGTAGCATATAACCCTAAGCACATTCCTGCTTTTACCAAATAAACTACTTAGGGCAACTCAGTTTCAATTGTTTCTTTCATGTTAAATAAATACAAAAGTGATGTTAATGCAATATTTTTTAAGAGTTTTTAAAAATATGCACAAGGCAATTTTGCCCATAACTTAGAGCTTAGGGATATAATTGTTGAATAATAAACTTGTAGCAACAAAATGGTTTTTATACCGATTATATATTTTATTTTAACAAAACTACACATCACAAATATATAAACAATAAATGTTTCAGAGTAGAAAGTCCTGCAAAGTATAAATCCAAACTATGTTCGGAAATCCTGCAATAAAAATCTTACTTTCAGTGTTGTTTTCATTATAAAATTGTGAATGCAGGAAGAAAGGACTGAAAGGGTTAGCTTGAAGACAAGGTTATGTCAAGGTATATTACACATATACATGTGGCAGATGTAGTACTGCACTGTAGTCATCCTCTGGAGACATTTCTCCCCTACACATAAACTACTACACTATATACAGGCCATTTACAATTCATACACATAAGCACTGTCTATACAGGATAAATAAACAAGACAGGCCTGCTTCAATATTACTCTACCTTGAGAAACACCCCACACTGATGTATGGCCTACTCACACGCATTCTTACTTGCACATTTGTCCTGCCAGCAAACTTACTACGAGGAAGTTTATATTACAGTCTCTCTATATACGATATGATACAAATTAACATTATATAAAAGCACTATACACTTGTGCACAAGTCCAGGGAGAACATCAAGCACCCCACCACAATTGGACACACATGTCTGGTCACACACAGCTGAACTTCACACCTGTTGAAAGAAACAACAAACTCTTTTTTATTTCAAAATTTTCTTTTTAATTACCGTAGGCAGACTCATATAACAAGGAAATGGGCAAAAATAAAATTGGGTTGGTAATCAGCAAGAAACACTTACCGTCTTCACTAGAGTAGCAATTATGACAGTGTAATTTGCTGTTACGTACACGGACATCTGTGCCCATTAGACCATCTCCCAGCTGTACATGACAGACACAACATTTGAAACAGTCAATATGGTAAAACAATCTTAAACTCTCAATGATCATGGCAGCCCCACGACCTATAACAAACAACAATATATATAAATAATTATAAAAGCACTCCAAAGAATTTTAAAAATCAGAATTTTGTTGATTAATTTTAACTACTTCCATTTTTAAAAGAAATTTCATGGAACAAATTTAATTTGCAGTAGTTTAAACCAAAATTATATCACACATAAGCAGGATTGGATTTCGAGTGATCAAACTGTAGAAACAAAATTTTTTTAAGGTCTTTGGGGTTCATTACCAGAGATATTTTCATAATACAATTTAGTGAAACTTGGTGAGAAATAATTTTCAGTTTGCAGATTCATCAGCAGTTTGGGACACCGAAGATATTTGGGAGGGTGACGATCCAAGAATCAGATATATTAACAATGGCCATTAGGGATAAAAGGCATTTAATAAGTAAAAACATAATGCCATTTCTTTACATAAATCCTTAAGAAATTCATATTTTTCACTCCTAATGCTCTTCAGAATTTGTTACCCCGGGTTTGATCGCTTGAGCCTTTTTATAAAATTGACAATGCCTTTAATGTGTAACTAAATAATCAAGGAAATTATTAATGATTGCAATAATTTTATTATATTATATGAAATTTTAAATTATATAAACAGTAGGAAAAGAGACCTTACCTAGTTCTTCCCCACAATGAGAACACTTTTTCTTTCCACTAACACTAAGCATCTTTTCTTGGGAATCACCATTGAGAGTTGGTGGGGGTAGATTGTTGGCGGGGCTATTGGAGGCTGGGAATTGCTTCAAGGGCACTGTCTGCTCTCGATTTGGACTGAAAGGAAACAAACATTATAAATTATACAGTTGATATTGAAATAATTTTATTTTCTAATAACGAAAGTTTTGTGAACAAAATCAAATAAATAAGGGTTTAATAAACAGCAGAAATAAAGAAATATTTCAAGGCAAATATAGTATTGAAACTTTCAGAGCACATTAGTGGACTACCTTTAATGACCATCAAGCTAATTTCTACTTAAAATAATTTTGGTACTTTGTACGTTTAATTGTTATACTTATAATTTTTATAATATAAATATATTTTTAAGATTCATTGATATTTAAACATTTTAAAACACACCAACATCTGATTGCAATTAAGCTGTCCAACCAGAAAAATTCTATTAAATTTCACGAGAATGAATGTGTCTTGCAATGTTGCCAAAATACATTATGTTTAAAAACAATAATTCAAATGTTGGATGCACAGTATTAGAAAACTATTTACTAATTTTCGATGCAATCACAATTTAAAAGCAAACTATAGAGCCTTTCACCATGTGAAATGTGCCTATGGTTTTGTTATTTTCCCTGTTTCTGGAAAAATCCAAAAAAATAATGAAATAAGTTTTGATTTTGACTGAAAAACGCAAATATTTTATTGTTTTTTTCTGCATGTTCTTATACTGCATATACTGACTGAATTCTTCTACTTAATGTGTGACAGCTTACGACACAGTTGGCATCATATGATTTCGAGATTCCAAGGAAGAGGCTATCTGCTGTTAAATATTGGTTATTTTTATGTTGCGTTGTAGAACAAGTTTTTTGATATTCTTGGCATGAAAAGATCTATTGCACTGTCTGTATAGTAATATACTATGTTATTGCAGCGTTCATCCCTAAGCTCAAAAGAAGAAATAAAGTTTTTAATTAAAGTAAGATTACTCTCTAAATTAACAACTATGAGTAATGCAATAACAATTCAATTCAAGAGTAGATAGGTAGAGCCAAACTTGACAGATCCCAAGCCACAACTATATACAGTGAAAGGTTACAAGAAAAGATAATAGATATCGACTTATTGACTCCTTTATCAGCAATGACGAAACAATAACTGCAACAATGCATACTGTGTGCCAACGTGCACACTTAGTGCTTAAGATTTTCTATGAACTTAAGTTAATTCATAAAAATTAAAAGAAAATATCTTGCATCAGGCAACTTCCATGCACACATATACTAAATTCGAAGAACTACAAGTTAAGTTATAGATATCCTTTCCATAACAGAAAAAAATCAAAATGAAGTAGGATGTTCTCTAACACAAGTCAGAATAAACACGGTAAAAAAAATAATAATCTATTATCTACAAAAATATTCACTCTAATAACAATGTTGTAGTAATAATAATAATAATAATAATAATAATAATAATAATAATAATAATAATAATAATAATAATAAAGTAATAATAATAACAAAATTAATTACAAGCACAAGTTGCTTGTATCACTGTTCAGCCACAATTAGGACGGAAAATATTATAGTACAATTTGTGTAAACTGGGTATTGCTCAGGACCAAAAAATATAATTATGATTTATTCAGTTTATTTTATTCTGTATTGACTGTTTTTGAATCTTCCTTCATGTTATTGATATTTTATATTGAAACTTATAAATTAGGAAACTTTATTATCATTAAAATACATGCACATATTCATGCATTTACAGAGGAAATCACTAATCATTAAGTTTTAATAATGAAATATTCTTAGTTGCCAAATAGAATATAAACCATTGTGACAATTCATACAATTCAATATTACTGACTCCAACATTCATCCAATGTTTCCTGCTTATTAATATTTACTACTGATTAATGTTTAAAGTTTTTTTATGCTTTATAAATATATTTAACTTCATAGGATGGAGACATTTTTTGATTAAAGCAGATTTCCAAGCTTGTACAGATTTTACTGTATGAAAATATGATATTACATATTGAATAATAAATTAATTGTACAAAAACTAAAAGATTGGAATTAAATAAAATTAAGAAATGAATTTTACAATGATAAACAAGATTTTTGAAATGTGCAAAAGAGTGTTTTTTAAAGAAGGAAAGAAAAGAAGTTTTGATGTAAAAGTGACGAGAGAAAATAAAAGAAATTTAAAGTAAAAGTAGAAGTGAATACTTATAGCAGCCTATTAGTACTTATATTATTTTCAAAATAAATTGAGCATATTCATGTTCTTTTTAATGAGCAAATGGATACATAAATTAAGCACAAAGACTTACAGACTAGAAAAACCTCAACAATTCAAAATAAAATAATAATAATAATATTAATATTAATAATAATAATAATATTATTAATAATAATAATAATAATAATAATAATAATAATAATAATAATAATAATAATAATAATAATAATTATTTTTCACTATTCTCTTCCAGTGTTAACAAAAATAATGATTCAAATTAATACTAAATTTTTTAACTTTTTTTTGTTTAGGATATCAAATAGAAACTTTTCTTCTTAAATTGAAATTTTGAATATTATTACCATAGAAGCCACAAAAGGTCATATTTGAATGAGATATCTAATTAACCTATCCATTTGTGTTAATTTTACTCCTGCACTCTTCAGCTTCCATGTATTTTGTAAAGCAACACAGTTTCCACTTTACTTTCTTTACAAAACATTTTCATTGTAAAATGATTACAAAGATGTTTTATTTTCGAATTGGGCACTTTCGTAATTCACTGTCCAAAAACAAAATGCTGTCACATTGGATGGACCACAGGAAACTTCCAAAATATTGCAGTTCTGTGGAAGCACCATCGTAACAATAGGTTGTCCTTTCTCACATTGAAAACACTTGGTTTTTCTAGTGAGAATTTTACTCACTAGACACCTCCAATAGACATGTTTATTTCCTTTTAATAACTACTTTCAGTTATAGTAAGCTTCAGTATTAACTAATAAATCATTTTTGGGTTTTTCAAAATATCTGTGAGTTGCCACATAAGCTCTTGAAATACTTTCAAAGTTAGGTAATGATACTTTGGTATCTACAAACATTTTGATAGTCAGTCAATGTGTGGTGGCGATGGTGTGACGGTTAGCGTACTGGACTGTTGTACCCAAGTTGGCGGGTTCAAACCCGATCGAAGCCGTGGATTTTTAAGGGCGAAAAAATCCTTCGTACGCCTTCCTTCGGAGGGGAAGTAAAGCCGGCTGTCCCATGTTCGTAGATTTACTTGCATGTAAAAGATCCTCAAGCCTAAATGACGCCTCTGAGCTAAATTCAAGTCGCCTGTTTCTCGCCCACGATACCTCCTTTCTCCGGTAGTTGGTGAAAGGAGCGTAGCGAAATTTGCGTGGTCAGACGGAAGAGCAGGCCTAATGGCCTGAGTCTCGCCACGTAAAATAAGGCATAATTCAATTCAATTCAATTCAATGTCATAATAAATATTTTCTCTCTCTGGTATGTGTAAGTTCAATTTGCAGACCTTGCCTTTAGTTTCAGTTAAGTAATTAGGCCTTCATACAAGGAATACTAAGAAAATATACAAATGTAAATGACATGATCTTACAAATTCGTTGTTTTTTTTTAATGTAAGTTCTAAAAATGATAAATAAATTGACAAATATACATATTTCTAGGGAATTCCAGTTCAGTCATAGTTCTTTGAACTTAACACCACTGTATCAGAAGGTAAGTAACAACCCCATATTTACAATAACAACCACCAAAAGATTCATTCATTTACATAAAAAAGAAGAAGGTATACTGAACAGAAGAAAATGTAGGACTACTGCTACATGCAAGAAAAGTAGAGTTTATCATTGCTACACTTTCTTGTTATGAAGAAGTTCAAAGAGTAAATTTTCAGAGATAATCTGGAAATAAATGACATTTCAATTGTCTCCATGAGAAATAAAACAGATTACATAAAAGGGAGTATGTAACTAAATGAAATGAGCAGTATAAAAACTGAGCTAGAAGGAGATTGGGAGGATAATAATGATAAGAAGACAATGGAAAGGACAATGAAGTAGGAGTAGAATAAAGATGGTATCTATTTTTGCTGGAAAGAAATCAGGATGAAAAAAGTGTATAGATATATTCTCTATTTTCATTTGTAACAAGAAAGTGTGGGCAGCGAAACAAAACAACTTGCAAGCAGGAGAAAAGAACAAGGGCTGGAATCTATAGGACAGACACATGCTTTAGTACCCCATAATTTCCAAACTGAAATACCTCAAACTGACGCCTGCTGTCTTCTTTTTTTCTGTGTGACCTGTTCGTCCTTGCACACGCTGTGTTAATGTCTGGATAATTGAATCAGGCAGTGGTTTCGCTTCTGGCCGAGGTGGTGGTGGTGGAGGTGGAGGCTGATGATGAGCCCATTGCTGCTGAGGTGGAGGTGGACGACGAGGCGGAGGCGCACAGCGCTGTGCTTGCTCTGTCAATCGCCGGTGTTCTGCTTCCTAGAAGACCCCAGTAGCAGTTGCCACTTCATCAGATCACCTTCTTACTGGTGGTACCACCCTCCCCCAAAATATTTCTTTGAAAAGGCAGGAGTTACGGGATACACATTACTGGTCAAGGTGGAAAGGATATAGCACAAGCATCCACACAATGGAAAAAAATTGTTTGAATTTTACCTGAATAAGCCAATGTTGAGTGTTGAGGCCTGGTCGGGTGGGTTCTTGCTTGCGTCGTGCTTGAATCCACGTATCATTCGTGATGAGACGAGAACGTGGTGCTGCACTGAGAGCCTGTAAAGTTTGTCTTGTCATTTGATGAGGTTGCACAGGCTGTTGCACTGCGGAAGACTGTTGTGTTGGCAGGTTGCCACGATTGGATTCTGTTGCAAGGCAGTCTGCAGAAGGAACTCTACTGCTCCTATTACAATAAAGAACAAAATAAAAATCCTTGGAAAAATCAAGTACATTGAGGGTTTAACAATAGATTAAATATGAGAAGAATAGCTTTTTTGTGTATATCTTAAATTTCCATAGGGTAGGAATTAATACGTGCCAAATCAGTGCACATTCCAAAAAGATAGCATTTGATATTAGTTATCTTTTTATTTTTTGGTCTTCTACTATCAGCTATTTTATTTTACACTGTTCAGTAATACCATTTCATTATCACCAACTTTTGCTCATCTGCACCAAAACAAAAATTCCTTAACTCCTTACATAAGGGAGGGAGGAGACAATTTTAGGAATTTTTACTTCAATTTAGCAATTGGGGAGAGGGGGAGATGTAAATTTTCCAAATTAAGATGGTGGAAGGATTTACACATTTTAGTACTCCTGACAAAATAATTTTCTCTACAAACAAAGAGTTTACCATGGACAGCATGTGGATACTTATTACAGGGAATCCATTGTGGTGGAAGTTGGCAAAAATGGTACGTAATCATATAGTTTCAGATACAAGGAAGGAATTTTAATTCCTACACAAATCAGGGTTTCGCCAACGCATAGTGGGAAGATTAAAGTTTACACCGATACCTTCTCTCCGCCCCTACCCCTTCCTGTAAACATATGATGTGCACAACATAAGAAGCGTAAAAAAGTCTCACCAACCACCAGTCACCTATTGGACCCATTGTCATGAGGGAACGCATTGTTTGATCGTTCCACATTTGACCTCAGCTGCAGGCAAGAGCCCTCTGCACTCTTGGCCTTAGACCCAGGGCAATTACATAAGTACAGACAGAATGTGGTTACTGCACCTGTGACTTCACCCAAAGGGGTGCATTTTTTTAAATTTAAAAAAGAAAAAAAAAGGGGGGGGGGGAAATAAAAAAAAATTATTTTTTTTTATTTATTTATTTAATTTTTTAGATTGGAAGTATAAAACTTGGAATGAAGTACCACACTCCAAAGCGAGACTAAGCACCATAGGCAAGGACATCTCATGTGTCACAGGACCTGTCAGTTTGAAAACAGGAAATGACGGGCACAACATACCCTACAATACTCCTGTTCTGCCTTACTTTCCTGGCATGTTTTACAGCTAAACCTCAAAAATGTTAGAGGATTAACTGTTCAATGGAAATTATATTTCTGTTACAGGTCACTCTATTCATAATCTTAAAGGGAAATTTTTTCTGCAAGTTTTTTCTGAATTAAAATTGCATAGGGTACTTGTATTTTCTATACAAATTTATATAACTTCAAGAACAAAAATTATTTCAGAAAACAACCTTGCAAGAAATACAAAAAAATGTAGACTTGCACACTGATTGACATCGATGTGAATATGCCCACAGATGTTTTTGAAAGGCATTTTTGATAACAATCCTCAAACTGTCATCCCACGTTTTGAGTTTGAACTCTTGTACAAATACGTTTTTTCAGCTTACAACCTACGAGTGATTGATTCCATTGAATAAATTGGCAAGCCTCTATCAAATGAGATGAGGAAGAAAAGTAAAACAAATAACTAGTATAGAGGCCTAAAGAAAGGGAATGGATGAAGATGGAGAAAAGAGTAAAAGGCCAAAAGAAAAAAGAAAGAAAAGGCGAATAAATCTATTGTGTGAATAAAGATTATTCTTGCCTGATACTGTTGTCACGTTCCCTCTGCTCTTGAGAAGCCACCCTTTGGGGTTTTGCTGGAGGTGCGGGTGGAGGGGGCCTCCGTGGGGCAGGGGCTGTAGACATTTCAGGTTGCCTATTGCCATAAGACTGTAAGGCGGGCCCAGCACTCCATCGGTGCTGAGGTGACTGAGGTGGTTGAATGGTAGTGGGCAGTACTGCAGGTTCCAAGTCTCGCAGTTGTTCACGTTGTGCATCCAGACGAGCCTGCTCCCGACGCAGAGCCTCCTATATGCATTGTCAGGTCAGGACAGGTTTCTTTCCATTTTGTGAAGTTATTGAAACTATCAGTGTCTCCCTTTCTGTTTTATATATACATATATTTTTTAATATGACCATGAAAGTATAATTTTCTTTGAAACTTGAACAAAAAATTTTACTATATTTAATACCAAGGATTGACAGGAATATTGTCAAAAAAATATTTTTTAAATAGTATATACATACTTTACAATTTCAGTTCAAGTCTTTAAAAGTATTTTTGCAATGGCTAAATTTCTCAACAGATGTTGCATTAAAATGTTGCAATTACAAGCCCAATTTTTGACAATAAATTTGTTTGTGTCATTATATGTATAAAAAATAGTTTTAACAATCTTTGGAGAACATAAACAAGAATGTTTTTCACAAATCACAAGACAAACATAGCATTCTGCCTTTATGATCACATATGTAATAATTTTTTTTCAAGCAAAACTAGGAATAGATGTTCGTGCATTAATCTTTTACAAGAAACAAAAAAAATTTGAAGAACATACACAACAATGAGAGGTAAAAGGAATTGAATAAAATAAATTGAAGTGTTCACACATTTATTGCCCAAACATGCAACATTTATTTTCCAATAAAGGAATCATATATGTAGGGTAGTTAATAATTAGTACATTTAAAGCAGTTATAAGGAATGAACAGTGTTACGAGTTGACAAGAAGATAACTCAAGCATATAACACAGTTAATTCATGCAATTGAATGTTTTCATGCATCAGGTACAAGATTTGAGTATTAAGAATATGGGAATTACAAGAGAAGTTAGCTTAAATATCAGTTAGCTTAAAAATAAAAACTAATACATTAAAAAGTTTAACTAGTGTATTTATCCAGTGGCATACAAGTAAATATATGCAAAACTTAAGATACGCATATCTTTTTCAATTCTGAAAAAAAAATAAGCGAGAGCTATTTTTGAAAAAAATTCTAGAAATTCTATTAATTTATACTCTTACTACATAACTACTCTGGCAATTCCCATACCCTATGAGATATAAGAACCTGCAGTGAAGCTAGAACAAGAGATATGAAAAGTGCAACCACTGCAATGAGAAAGGTCAAAAGATGCATCCATGCCCTCACCCCGGTGTCCGGCGTTTCCTCCAGAGGCTCTTGCAGCTCCGAGCTATCATCAGTGCTCTGAAATAAGATTGGTGCTGAGCCACAACCTGCTACCCTTAGCAAAATCCCTCAAATAATTATTAAGCTAAGCATTAATTCTTATAAACTAACCTTTTTGTGTTTTGAAATTCTTACTAATATAAGAAAGCTCAAAAGCTACAAGAATTTATAGATTTACAAATATATACATTCGCCAAGAAAATGTGCAGCAAATATGCTGGTGTGGTTGAAAAATTGGAAAGAATAGTAGTAATGTAGACAAAAGGGTTGATTCTGTATTTACAGGTCTTATTTTTATTTTTCTCCTTGCTCTGTAATAAATAAAACAATGAACTGGCCTGGACAAGAAAGGTTCCTTATTAAAGTTAATGTAATAAATTACACATCACAGGCTGTCACTGTATGTTTAGTTACAAAAGAACTACTTCACAAAACCCATAAAATGTTAAACAGCAAGTTAAGAGTTCAAAATCCTAATGTGTGTGTTTATTGGAAGGTGCACCAAGCTTGTGTTTTGCATATGTTAGCGCTGTATGTACAATGGCTACAGCAGGAGCATAGCTTTGTTATCCACAACACTTGCCTCATGAAGCCTCAAAGCAGCTTCTCTTGCAGCTAGTCTACGTTCTTCCTCTCGGCGAATGCCTTCTTCCTCCATACGGCGGCGATCTAATTCTGCCTTCTCTATTTCCAGAACTCTCAAGCGCTCTGCAAGTTGCTCACCTATCAAATTAAAATTGAATTATTCACTTTAATGTTAACCATTTGTAAAGTTCAAATGTCAGAGAAGATAATAACATTTGATACAAAGTATCTGCAATGTCTTCCATTGCAAAAAGCTTTGTCATTTTTTCTTCATAATGATACAATTAAACACAAGACACAGAGGAAAAAACTATTCAGACTCTACAAGTAGCCTAGTTAATTGAGTTAATTTCAAAATATCTATTTAAAAATGCTGTACACAGCAAGCTGTCTCACAGGCTTACCAATACTATCTCCCCGTCGCCACTGTTCTTCTTGGTCCAAATTCGCGATTATCTCTTTCTCCCTGCGGGACACTTCTTCCTCCTCTGATGTCAGACTGGTGTGCCCAAATATCTGTAAAAGTAGATACTATTATTTATTTATTTAACATAAAAAATAATTCAATACTCTGTAATGTACTGTAAAGAGAAATGCAAAATACCTAAGCATTTATTTTTGTATAATTACGACAAAACATTTCAATACAATTCGTAATAGAAACGTGTAATAAAAATTATTTTGAGTAAAATGAAATTCAAAACTTTATCTGAAGTAGTGTGTGGTTGATTTTTTTTCCATACAAATTTCTGGTAATAATAACATTAGACATTTCTTTGTGTCTGTCAGTAATTTCAAGATGCTTTTTTCTAAGAATAATTGGTTTTCAGAGGGATAAGTTCGTACCACGTTTGCCACGGCTGGTTATAATCGCTTGCCCCCAATTATTATTTCAATACATCTCTACCGGCCGGAATCAGTATCTACTGTCCTGAAACACCGCCGCATCTCAGGCACAGGTGTCAAAGGTTCGGCCGGCATGCTGCGACCTTCGCATTTCTGGACGAAGTGCAATGCAGAGACGCTCCTGAGGAGGAAGCATGAAGGCCAGAAAGTGGGCACCTGTGACTAAGACGTGGCGACTCTTAAGACAGCGAAGTAGATAAAGATGGTGGTTGTTTCACTTCTCGTTCTTCCATCGACGATCGACCCCTTCAGAAGTCATTAATGTCAATTTCGTAAAAATTGTTATTAAAAAATTCTGTTACTTCTGCGTAACAGCGTTCCAAGCTTTATTATTTTTGTTTGTTGTTTGTTTTTGTTTTACGTAAAACGCGAGGAGTAATTCTTCTTGAACATACTAAGTCAGTCATTGCTTTATCCCTATCGGCAATGAGTCAGCGCCGGGTTTCACAGACTGTCACCCATCAGGGAACCTGCGGTGACGAGATACTTAATTTCCGAGACTTCACGGAGCTTGATTAAGCAGTTCTGCTACCGGAGCAGGCAGCATTATCACCCTAACGTAAACAAGAACTGCGTTTGGTTGCGTAGTCGACCGCTCCAGAAATATTGAACTGGAGAAAATTGCCAATTAGATCGATCTCCCGGCCACGCACCTCGCTGTTGGTGCGGCTGTGGGGCTCGGGCGAGGCGGCGTCCTCGGCGGCTCCGCGCTCCAACTCCACGCCCGAGTCGCGGCTCTCGGCGGCGTCGGCGGCGTCGCTCTCGGAGGCGAGCGAGCGCCGGAACAGCTGCTGCTGTAGGCGCCGCTCCTCGGCCAGCAGCGCCGCCATGTCGGGCGGCGGCGCCAGCGTCAGCGCGGGCTCCTCGGCGTCCATGTCGTCGCGGCCGGCGATGCCCAGGAAGTCGGAGCGCTTGCGGCGGATCTCCTTCTTGATGCGCTTCGTCGAGTCCAGGCGGCGCAGCGGGCTCTCCTGCAGGGGCAGAGACAGCGCGGTTAGACCCGAAACGAACCTCGGAGCTGCGGTTCGAGCCGAAGCAGGTGAATGTCTTAAAAACACCTCACAAAATTGCATGCCTGTTGAATTTTTCGCTAATCGTGACACAATTCTAGCGTTCGGATCTTGTTTGCAACATTATATTGCCGATTTATGTGACTTAATAAATCTAATTTCGATTCAAATTCCTCATTTGTAGTTTCGATGAAGGTGAAAACAATATGGTCCTACACATGCCTATTTCAAGAACGTTTCTTTACATAAATTCAAACGATTTTAAATTGTTAGTTCCTTCTTTTTCTGAAAAATCTGTTCTTTAAAGCATATTGTCGAGTTCTTTTTATGTTACACTTCAAAAGACTACAGCCGAAATGTGAACACATATCTGTTTCCAAGGAAAGGAAAATAACAAAAGCCACCATCGGGAGAGTCACTGATACCGTGTTTACATGTTTCCTTCTCTTTTCCCGCCATGTGTGGTTCATCCTGGTGGGCTCCAGGACATCTGTGAGCATACAACACTCATCCAAGTATATCCTACAATTCTGTAGAAGTATGTATGTCGAGAGTGAATGTATAACATCCCTTTAAAAATAAATTAATTTTTGATTTAATATTGCGAAGTATTATTCCACGAAGATCTTAAAAATCAAATTTCACTCTGATTTAAAAATAAATTCCTTTACAAAAACTCATAGTAACAGTAATATACAAGTCTTGCATAAATAAGATTTTGATTTTCAAACAGAAAAAAATGTTCCTTAACATTTATCATCCAACTTTTTTTATAATTTTTAAATCTACTTTTCTCTGAAAAGGCAGTTGTAAATAATAAAGAAAATGCGGGGGAAGACTGGCAAATAAGTAAATAAAAAAATACGGGAGACCGAGAAGAAGAGAACGAGAGGAAAAGAACGAGACAAAGAGAAAAGGCGAGAGAGAGAGAGAGAGAGAGAGAGAGAGAGAGAGAGAGAGAGAGAGAGAGAGAGAGAGACGAAGAGAAAAATGCGAGAGAGACAGAGTGAGACGGATACTAGAGAAGTAGAGACAGAAAGCGGGACGGACGGAGCTAGACGAGCGAGAGGCGCGAGAGGCGCAAGAGAGCGAAGAAGCTCCGCGTCGTACCGCCGGCAGCGGCTCCTCGTCGTCGGTGAGCTCGGTGGGCGGCGGGGGCGGCTTCTCCTTGGGCGGTTCTGCGCTGGTGGGCGGGCCCAGCGGGAAGGAGAGCCCTCCTACAATCTCCACCTCGCCGGTGAGGCTGAGCGGTGGCAGCAGCGCCGTGTCCAGGGGCTCGCTCGTCAAGCTGGTGGGCGTGACCAGGGGCGAGCTCAGCGGCGTCAGCGGGGCCCCGAAGGCCAGCGTGGCCGGCGGTGGCAGGGGCAGCGCCAGCGGTTGCGGCGAGGTCGACATCTAGTTGAGCGGAACGGGAACTAATCATAATCGACGGAATCGATCCAACTTCAGGTTCAGATCGATCTATATTCGTGTTTACGTATTCTGTTAGGTGTGGTTGGCATTTCAAAAAAATTGTGTAGTGATTGTGTCCTGGTTTGGCTAAGTTTCTACTAATGCATAATGACGAGTCATTATTGGCAAAAATAATTTATCTTCTATTCTTGTAATAATCGCAAATTATTTAATTTATACATGTTTCGAGACATCGAAGTTTTTATATCATAAAAGCAATACTCGTGAAAACTAATATACTTTTAATAAAGCGCATCGTAGAATAAATATACCTGCGAATTTCGCTCGTAGTATTAAGACAACACTTCGTACGCTTCTTACGTATGAAAAAACACTTTTTTCCTCGATGTTCTAACAAAAATTTATAGATTTTTTTTACAGAGAGACTTTAGTATCTCGAGTCTGAAGGAAAAAATAAAATTTGATTAATCGAATACATCGACTTATCCACATTTGTCATCGAACTACGTGTGATAAACAGGCGAAGACCAATTCGAATTACCGATGATCAGACCCCGAGAACTCACCAGCATCTCAACCGGCTGCGAGGCTTCGGCGGGCGGGGCCGGCTGTGCCGGGGGCGCGGCGGCGGGCGTGGGCTTCGGAGCGGGGGCCGCAGCGGACTGCGGCGGCTCCGGAGCGACCGCCGCGACTGGAGTCAGAGGCTCCGGCAGCAGAGCCGAGGCGTGGGCGGGAGCGGGAGCGGGAGCGGCTTCGGCGGGCGCCATAGCTGTCGGAGTGGAGGCGGCAGATTCGCCAGACACGGGCGATGCCTCTGGTTCTTCCGGGATCGCTGGAGGAATCATAGCCGCAAGGGGGACTGCGGCTGTCACAGCGATCAGTTGTTCCTACAAAGACACGTTACGTGGGTTAGATCTTGAATTGACATTTGGAAGTCGTTATAAGTATTTAAATTCTGTTTTTTTCTGTTAATACTGATTACAACTTTTGAACTTACTTTTCTGCCCAGATTCCCTAGCATTAAGATTTTGGTGTATAACAACCACCCCCTCAGATAAACAATCTTCCCCTCAGTAACCATTTATATTTTATCATTCTCTCTTATGATCCCCCTGTTATTTTCAGAGTGGAAGGCGAAGGTACGCGACCTGCCAAAAAAAGGGTTCATCAGCGTTACGGGATATACACCTACACTTCGTAGTACTTGCCGCAAGTCAGTTGTTACGGTGTGATCCAATCGGGAGCTTGAACGTCACTGCTGTAGAGATGTTCAAGATCCCGATTGGATGACACCATGACAGCTAATAAAACGTGAAGTGCAGTTATAAATAAATCGAAGCCTCTTGTTTTCCCTACGCGCAGAAATAAATATAGTAAACACGACACATTTACCTCTAAAATACAAAACAATAAGTCCCTTAAAATTAAAACAAACTATAACTATGAGATGGCCTTCGCCATCATTTCCAATCTCCCTCTCCCCCCCCCCCCGACTAGCCGCAAGCACAAGTTGATAAACCGACGCCTCACCTGTTCTGTTCCAGGAGCGACCACCTCCGCGACGGGCACGTGCGTCGGCGACATGGGGGACATTGGCGACATGGGGGACACGGGCGACATAGGCGTCATGGGGGAGAGCGGCGCCGAGTCCACGTGCGGAGGCACCTCGGAGCCCACCGTGGTGGCCGTCTCCTCCGAGACGTCGGCGGCGTCCAGGGCTTCGGCCATCGAGTCGCTCTCCGCGGCTGCGGCGGCGCTGGAGGCGACGGCGGACGACGAGGACACGTCGGCGTCCGCGTCAGCGTCCACGTCGGCGCCGGCGGCGGGCTCCGCCTCGTCCACGGGCTCGTCCGCCTGGCTCACGGAGCACGACACGTCTGCCGTGTGGATGCCCGAGTCCTCGCGGTCGGTGTCGCCGCTCTGCGAGGACGCGGCCAGCAGCTCCGAGGAGGACGCGCCAGCCACCAGCGGACCCGCGCGTCCACAGCGGTCCAGGGCCTGCGCCGCGCGGCCATTTCACAGTAGGTTGTAACGGTTTAGGGTGTACAGAGGGTCTCACAATAAATGTTACAAATTTGTAGGGCATGTAGTGGGAGGCGACATAATGGATGATCTTTTGACACTGAGCATGTGAGAAATACTACAAAAGGAAGTTATACACAAGATAATTGCTTCTGATAATCAGGCATCTTGCAGCGGTGGTTGGTAGGTACGTCAATAATATTTTTAGACAGAACATTTATTTGCCAAACATCTGTGTACGATCGGTTGCCTACAATCCGGGGAAAAAGCCACATTTGAAAGTTTGTTAAAGTGTTGTGTACATTTGCCACCACTTCCTCATTCAAAAAACTGATCATTTTTTGACGTCTTTTAATTTATAATATATATATATATATATATATATATATATATATATATATATGAAAAGTTATATATTGCAATATTAATATTATTTCAATAATACATTTGTTAACAATTTACATACATTTTTTCCACATGAAATATCTAGTGTTGTAATATCGTACCAAACTATAATTGATAATTTAAATTATACAATTGAAGATATGCCATATCTAGATGAATCCTGTCGTTTTATGTAGTGTAAGCATGAAAATATACACGACCACTGTGTTGCGGTGTATATTATTGAGTTTTTACTCATTAGTTAAATTAATATAAATACTGTGTTCCAAGGGATCAAAATGAATAACAAAGAATGAAAAAAGAACACTACAAAACACAGAAATAAGGCTATGTGTGTGTGTTTCCATTTCAGTTACAAAACTTGAAACTGCGATATTCACACAATATCAACCTGATCGAAATGCAATTTCAACGACATCGATCGTTGGAAATTTTTTTTGAATCTAAAATTAGTAAAGCTTTGTACGTTGACGTATGATGTAATGTGGCTGTTGGTTATGTAAAATAGACGTAATAATATTTCAGCGTAAATTATATGGAATTTGCTTTATGAAATTTCCACATACTAATGAAGGAATCGATTATTTGATTCAGAAGAGACAATATTCGAGGAAGATTATTTTCGGAAAACATTGTCTGATCACGCTCTTTGATTCGCGTTGTCGTTTCAGAGAAACTCGAGCTTGAAATTACGTATTCTGCTAACCAGCTCAAAGCTCAGACAGCTCAAAGAAGACGTATTCAATTAGATTACAAGATTCGTAAATATCGTGTTTTTAATTTCAGTGTGTCCATTTTCGCAAAGTAAGTTTGATCACCAGTCGATGGCAACTGTTCAGAAGCTTGTACTAGCAAACTTTATGCATAAAAGGGATGAGTCATGTGACGTCTGAGGATTTTGTCTAATCAAACTGAACTTTAATAATTATGATGATATATTCTGTAACATTTTATATTTGACAAGATTTTCGCACTCTTTCTATCATGCTATGAAACCACAGTACTTTATCAGTCCTCCTCGTTTACCACACATGGTTATCATTATTTGAAATGTAGTTGAAGATCTTTCGCTTTCTCACTCGTTTAGTATTAGATTTCTAATTAAAAGAGAATCTATTATTGGAATGTGGTTTCTACCCTACCTCTACATTGGAGTCGAAGACTGAAGGTGAGCCGTCTAACCACAACACCACAGTACGCCCCACTCTAAATTACGAATTGTCAAATATTCAACACTTCATGGCAAGCTATATTAGTAGCATTTAGAGAGTACCGAGCGACAGCTCACCGAATTCCAAGTAGCGTGGGGAAGTTGTTTGCTCTTTGCCAAGCACCAATCTTTTGGTACTCGCCACACCCACCAATCGTTTGGACACATCAAAGGAAGCAATCACCGAGCACTTCGTCCAATCGGAATCCAGCGATTGGCAGTAGCTCGGTACTCGTCCAGGACTCGTCGAGAGCCTTATCCCTTATCGTAAAGAATCGACACAGACGACGCGAGATCGGTGACGGAAATCGACGAACGATTGGTGGAACCGAACACTTTCTGTTTTGTAATTCAGATGAGAGTGGCGCGTTTAATAATTTAAGAAGTATTTTGACGCAATAAATTGCGTTGGATAGCTCAAGAATGTTTTATGTTTGTCACTACGTCTGAAGCCTCATTATGGACGTCGGCACGCATAGTGAAGCGTCAAGTGTTACTTTAAAATGTTCGGCAAAAATTACTTTGGAGTAAAATGCGGTGGACAGACTCATGATGTTTTAAAATAATAGCTTAGGCCAACGGCCGGATCCTCGTCACGAAGTTGGTCTCACGTAGTGAAGCGTCACATCGGCTTAAAATTTGAGTTTATAAATACGCCATTCAGCTCGCGCGTGTTTGTTATCGTCTGGGAAGCGAGGCGATTCCTTCACGTTCGTTATGAAAAGAGAGAAGAGCCGCCGCCGAAGGTGCTGGCGCCGCATCGTCTTTGTAGAAAGAGGGAGTCACTGTACCTGCAGGCTCTGCACGCGCTCGAAGGCCTCGCTGAGGAGGTCTGCGGCGGCGGAGGCGGCGGCGCCGGGCCCCACGTCCAGGCTGTCGAGCGAGCGGTGCAGCTGCGCCCGGCGGCTGTTGCTGTTGGCGGCGCCGGCGGCGGTCGGGGCCTCGGCGGCGGAAGAGGAGCCGTCGCCGGGGCTGGCCGAGCGCGGAGAGTCGCCGCCCTCGAAGTTGGCCAGCTTCGCCTGCGCATGCGCCCGAGGGTGCGGCTCGTGGGTGCGTTCTCAACGGCCGCATTCAGCTTCGCTTATCTCGCGCGTGTTTAACGGATTGCACGGATGCGGCACGGCCTTTCCCACTAGAGGCGGAGATAGGAGCGTTCAGGTCCGGTTTGTATGACGGAAAGGCATGTCTACTGATTCTGTTTTCATACACGTTTCCAACATGCATGTGTATGTATAATTTGTTTACGAGCTAAAAGGGCTTCTCGAACCAAAATGTGAGTTGGGGGACAAGCTACGACTGAAAATTAGAACATTTATTGAGTGAGTAGCTTGTTCCAAACCATGCATTGGTCTTGACATTACTATTAACAGACGGACTTCAGTCATTAAATGTATTTTGACAATCGCAAATTACGCAAGACGAATTTCCAAGATGGAAGTCGTTATTTCACTCTCTTGCCTTAATTAAATACAGTTGATTTTACTTTCCAGATGCAATTGTATATTCGGAAAAGTTCCAATGTATGAAGACCGTAAACAATTATCTCCAAAACAATAAGGAAAAGACATTAGTAAAAATAACCTTCGTTTTGACTAAAGGTATAGGATTTTTTGAAACATGTGTTTATACTCCCCGAAATTTCCTGACCACGATAAAAATAACCTTACCTTTGTCAATGTGTTATCACGTGAGGAAAGCAGCTACAGATGTAGGTCAATGCCTTATCGTTGGAAAGTTAAGTTTGTTTAGTTTTGATAACACTGAAAATATAGTTACTGCATTTGTCGTCTTACATTTCCGTGGGAAACTAAATAATCTAAAGAAAACAATTTTGACGAGTGTGAGTCTTTTTGCATACTCCTTTTCTTAGACAAATGTCCTCGTCATAGAGAAAGCGGAGTTGAAATCAGACTGGTTCCCCATTAATCGACAGATATTAATTCCACTGTTAAGGATGGAATTATTAATGCTGATCATTTAATACTGACACTGACAAATTATTAGAAATGTGCGTAACCTTTCGCTGAATGATGATTATTCCAGTCATCAAGTGACAGAAACAGACTCGTTCCACTTGCCAATTACCATTGCTGCCTCCTGGCCAACAGACTGATTCGCATCCAAATTTTTACCTAATTATGTTCTAAACGATAAAATGAAACCGAGAACATTCCAACGCGAGCGTTCGCAAAGGAGTGATACGAAGGCACACTCGACAGCCGCATATCGCCACTCTACGGCACCTTATCAGCAAGTGTTTGACGCAAGCGGGGCCCGATCGGAAGCAAGCGACGGCAGGTGTCGGCTACAGAGCTATCTCACTGAACCAGCTGTGTGGACGTCGCTCTCCAAGTGGGGAAGCCCGCTTCACCGCAGTGAGCCAGAGACCGTGAAAAATCGTACGTTCTATTGTTTCGTGTTTTTGATAAATTTGTTGTAAACGGAAATTCTACACAGAATTTAGCCGACTGCATAAAGACCACTCTGAACTTCATTTGTGAGGCTGGAATGACGTCGTTTTTATGCAATAGGGGCAGATTCTTCACTGTCCGGGAGATGCCTTGTCTAATCTCAGTTACCAACCTTTCTGCCACCAAACTGCGATCTTCCTTGGAGTAAATTGTGAAAGACAACGCGGTCGATTAAAGCAGTCTTTGAAATTGGACTGAATCTTTGAAATGGGTTGGAGTATTAAAGAATTATTCAAAAACATTTTAATGAAAATCACTTCTAGGATTGATATTTAAACAGTAAACTACCCGTGTTATTTACTTATAGGAAGTTGATGAAATTTGACTTCTTTTTGCTTCGTTTTTCTGTGGATAACGATTCAAATTGATGTGTATTACAAATTTTATCTCGTCACTCAAATTAACGAAGAGAATTATACATGTTAAAATACCGTCAATTTCTCACGAATTTGTAATGAGCTAATTTTCTACATGAAATGAATGTGATTTAAATAGGAATAAAATTAACTACAACTAGATCCCCCCCCCAGAAAACAAGGCGATGTCAAATATTCCTGGAATTGCATTACATCATACTGATTACATTAAAACACTTTCTGTAAGTTTAAGAGATCCATATTATTTCTATTCTTACAGTTAATTTATTTAACTACTCATTGTCAGGCTAAACCTGTGTAACGTTTGTGATGTAGAAGTATATTTCCATTTATGCCCAGTTTCCAAAAGTGTCTCTCACTGTGTTGGGGGGAGGGACGTTGGCCTGTCGGACCGGCAGACAGACGCGAAGAGAGATACGCAAGTACCAGTTGTCTGGCGAAGCAGGCTCCCCTCCTGTATGAAATCGGCCTCGAACAAGGAGGGAGTGATAAGGAGAGAATACTCTCTGACACATCCTGAGGTGGCAACAAATGGAGCACGAACTACAAATACAATTGCATGTTTGGTAAACGCACGATTATTACCAGTTCTAATACTGTATAGAATTCAGTTATGTCATCTTTAAAGTATTTTGTATACCGAGAACAGTGATGTTTGTACACGGCATCTAACAAGAACAATTTAACAAAATAAGTAAAATTTGATCAACAGTAAAGTATTTGTGAATATTGTAAATGTATTCACTTGGGTATGGTGGTGCTATTGAAATTGCTTCTCATGATTGCTAATCTGCTCTGAAACTTTAAGGTGCATTTCTCGGTTTTTTCTTGTGGTTATCTCCACTTTGTATTCGCTTTCGCGTACCTTAGAGATTATTTTCAAATATTCGTTTTTCCATCCCCATGGAGATTCTCACGTTTGCCTTCCTCTCCTTCATTTATATCGTTTATCTCATTACGTTTCAAGTTTTCGTCATCTGATTGCCCTTAACTGCATCAGACTTCAGTTGCCGATCACTTGACAATAATGTAAATTTCCTTACATGTACACCAAAGTATCCGTGTTTGTTGCTACTCTTCTGGCTATTAGTCTCTGAAGTTACGTCCCTCCCAAGTTTCCCTTGGAATATGATCTTGTCTACCCTACTTATCCAAACATCGCTAAATTTCTATAGCTTTCGGCGGAGAATGCACGGTAAACAGGTTCATAGTGATTTAATGGACGGACGTGAAAGGCGGAGGGGCTTTAATGCAAAAAGTATGGACATTCGTGCCATATGAAGAGGGAGGAAGGGAGGATATCTCAGCAAAATTGATATCAGAATAAATTAATGGTAATAAGCGTACACAAGAGTTCGGAAAGGTACGGCATGATGGAAGCACATGAGAATATAGAGGTTCCAGCGAGGTTTCATAGGGAGGCTAGAATCTTTCTAGAAATAAAAATAGACCAACCTAATATAGTGCAATCAGATCTCTATTATTTATTTTCGCAGATGCACTATAAACGAACTAATTCTTCAATTACAACCTAAAATGTTCTGTGATTAAATGATATCAAGATCTTCGACGACTTTCGACGACTCGAAACCTTACAACATCTCTATGAGAAGAACCCTATACAATTTTGTAACCGGAATGTATGGTAAAAAAATTGTCTCCGTCAGTTTAGTTTTAACTGTAATTATGTCTAATATTCTTGCCGACCTCTACCAAAAAGAGCAACCGACCTGAAAATGCAATCTGGAACCGCCCCAATGCGTCTACACAAATTTACCTTACGTCGTCTGCATTGACCAGTCCCCCATGCCGTAAATATCCCAGACCCCCACTCCCAAATACGCACGCACGCCAACCACCTCCCCAACGCCCACGTCGCATACTCTTACATCTGTTCTCCGCGACTTCCCGGCCAGTCGCTCGACCCCCGTTCGAAGTTCACTATTCCGCTTTTGCGAGGCGCGCGCGCGGTTGCATTGTTTGCCAGTGAGTTTGTGTTCGGTGGGATGCGGAATGCAAACATGGCTTGCCGCCTTCGGATCGGGCGCTCACGTAATGGAAGCTCCCCCGTTGCTTATCAAGGGAGCGCGTCGCGTGTTTTTTATGGGCCCCGCGGCATGCGACGCGGGCGTTGCGGAGGTCGGCGTGCGCGAAATAGCACGTGTCGCGCGTGCGTATTTTCGAGCGGGGGTCAGGGATATTTATGGCATTGGTGACAGGTCAATGTAGACGACGTAGGGTAGATACGTGTTGACATATTGGGGGAGGACAGTGATGTAGGTCAAAATGGTCTGTAAAGAAAGGAAACATTTTCATTGTGAAAATGTATGCTTTCGTAATACGCGACTTCGGTACATTTCGGTTCCTTGAATGTTACGGCAGGGGCGGATCCATCATTTGTATGTGTGTGTGGAGGGGGGAGGATCATAGATTTTTGTTCAATAATAAACATATTATTTTAATATTTGGATATTGTTGTTTATCCTTATATATGGTACTATTCATTATTATTGTTTCAACAACTACATAATTCTCATATAAATAAATATTTAAATCAATTTTGCCAAATAAAAGAAGGTAGCAAACAAAAACTATAGGCTTTGGATCCGCCACTGGTATTAGGAAACGAAATATGCAAATGTCAGATTCACACTCTTACAAAGTGGCTGGCGAAAGACAGGCGAGGAACATAGTGCTCTCCGTATCTGATTTTTTTCTAGTAGTTTGGTTTCCATTTCTGAGAATTTTGTGTTCTACATTTATTACCTTATCGTTTTCACTCATTTCGGTTCATTTATTCATTCCAAATAACTCCCAATAAACAATACTATCAGCAGAGGAAATTAATAAATTGTTATCGTTCTATCTTTCACGAAGTGCCTGATATGAAGACGAGTTGGCACTATTGATGCTGGATTAAAAACTGCAATCTTATATTCTTAGGCGAAGCTGGCATGTGATAACGATCGTTAAGCAGTTTATCCCGCAGATTCCTCAAAATCTCTTCCCCCAAAGATATTTAATACCTCGGAGGGTTTTTAAACTTTCGAAATTAGGATTTCGCAACAATTTTGATAACTTGTCCGCATTTGTTTTGCAAAACTGAGACAACGCACACCACCCACGCTTTCTCGCGACGAATTTTCTATTTCTCTCTCGAAGCAACATCGAGGAAACAGTATTACAAGATTTGTGTTTTACTTTAACCAAGTCTGAAACATTGCACAATTAATTCGGTTAATTAATTTCTAATTAATGAACTTACGCACTTCACAGCACCCCTCCGCTTCCTAAATTATCGAAAGCGTTCCTCGCATTTTCGCTAATGCATGAGCCTCCCCGCCGGCCTGCCCATATTCATTCGCAGAAGGAAGAGCGGGCGTTAAGTGAATCGCGAGGTGACAGCGCCCGCAAATGCGAGGGGCATTTGAAAGGCCACGTGATAGGGAAGCAGAATGCCGGAATACAATGAACTGCACTAGGGCCCCGGGGGAAGAGAAATGTGCGGGAAAGCTTTCAGGAACTCAAATGTGAGTGTGCACAGCGATATTCTAAAAACTGTCAATGGATATTGATTGACTGATAATTCAAATGTAAATTAGTTTTCTGCCACCGCACTTCACAATTCTCACGTAACTTAGTTGATTCATCGAGCAGACTGTAAGTTTGCGAGGTTACTAATTTACGAAACAGAATTATAATTATCTTTCAAATGAAGCTTAACTACTAATTCATTCCAGATAGTTACATGACGATCCAATAATTGGAATGTTTAATTATCTATGGTCTAATTACCTGATACACGAATCATAAAAGATCCGACATAACTGCTATGGGAAGACTAATCGAAATATAACAGAGCATGGTAATAATTCCTTCTCTTGATATGAAACGCCTAATATTAATAGATACCAATCACAGTACAATAACACATTAGACATTTCAATTCCTTATACTTTCGAACATAGGTGTACATTGCAGATATAGACATAAGAGTAACTCTGACCTTTTGAAACCAATTGCTGTCTGGACTCCAGGCATCTAAAGGGGCAACAATTTATTTAGGGGTACCATTTTTCCTCCGTGATCTCTCTTAGAGTCGTTAATGTCTTTCCCCCTACTTCATCTTTCTGCACCATTGACCTTGAGCTCCTCCACTTTCTGTAACCATATTGCATCTTCCACGGGACGCCGCACCGATCGCTAAAGACAGTAGTAGCTCCAGGTGCCGGATTTTCGGAGCACCCACGATAGGCAGGCAGAACGTTCGCAAGAAAAGAGGAGACTGGAGGCTAAATTCCCTACCCGACTCACCAGGGGTAACTCCAAAGCAATATATTTTCCATAATTGTAATTGTGCACAAAATCAGTTCTACATTACTAAAAATTTAGTCCCCATCCTTCAGTACTAAAATATTACTAATACATCTAAATACTGTCGTATCTCTACACTGCGATGTGCCATGCAGGTACCTATACTTATTCCACTTCTGTCCCGAGCATAAACCAGGGTTTACCCAGCCGCTTTTGGGGGGAGGGGAAGGGGGGAAACTCCTCAATTTTTTTAACTATCACACCCTCAGAAAAGTTTCAATTACCCAACTCCATGGAGTGAGGACAACCCACACATCTTGTAGTTCAAGAGATATTCATGAGAGGAAAATGTTAGTTATTGAGTCATCTTTAATTATTTTATTCGTAATCTTCGGTTTAAACAAATAAACAAAAAAAACAAACAAAAAACAAACAAAAAACGTAGGTCTACCGGTTTGGCAGTTGAGTATTGGAGTACCAGGAATACCAATACCTTGTAAAGATGATTAATTTTTTGAGATGGCTGAAAACTGAAGCGCTGAGAAAGACGATCCGAAACACTAATAATATATAATATTCTACGTATTTACGTTGCTTCTTGAAGTACTTTACAACATAAAAATCTACCATACCGTTTAAATTTTTCGACCACAACCCAGTTTTGACCGAACTTCACCGGCACAAAACTGGCCCGCAGCCGCGCCTTGAGGCTCACCTGGAAGGCCGAGTCGCGGCTGGGGCTGGTGGCGGAGCCGAGGCGTTCGCGCGAGGCGCTGGCGGGGCGCGGCTTGGTGGGCGAGCGGGCGGGCGCGGGGGCGTCCGCCTGGCGCTCCAGGGTGCTGAGGCGCTCGCGCACGGAAGCGGCCGAGGCCGGGGCGCGACGCGCGTTCTGCTGCTGCTGTTGCTGTTGGGAGGCGCTCCCGGCCGCCTGGAGGCACACGGAGAGAAAATGGATGTTAAGCACAACAAAGTTAATTGTAGAAATGATTAGAAGAAATGAATTTTAACACAGTAAGAAAAATAAGATGAGGTGTGAGGAGAAAGTAAAGAAGAAATGTAAAAAAAGTACGGGAAGTGAAAGAGCTAAGTGGAATGAGTTCCAGGAAGCATGTGTCACTTCGTATTTGCCCGTGTCAAATAATAATTAATAATAATAATTATTATTATTATTATTCATATTTAATTAAATATTAATAATAATAATTAATATTTAATTAAATATTTTCTTTATAATCATGATAATTTGTTGCCTCCTCAAAGACTTATTTCAGAGAGCTATGGAAAACGATTACACCTCGAATTCCTTCAGTACATACGAGATTCTGGTAAATTGATTGAAATACCGCTTAGCCAACTTATGCAAATTAGTAGAGTCGCGACGCTTGCTAGTGCTAAACATTTCTAGCTCTGCCAGAAATGTTATACCCCTCTACGAAATTATATAATTATTTATTTTATTTACTAACTTGAAATCTTTGCTTCCTTATACACTAATGGAGGGGATTTTATATCGTATTTTAGTTTATTTGTGAAACAATATCGTTTCCTAGTTTTCGGGATTTTTAAAACATTTAGTTGTAATTCTTATTGAGGGACGGTCGTTTCTCCATCTATAAAACTACACCAAGTCTTCATTTTTCCACTTACCTATTTAGATCAAATATTCATTGCAAATAGTTGGTTCTGACTTCTATCACTGCTATAATTCGATTGTTAATCCTGGAGCGTTGTCCTTATCCCACGTTATATATCTTCTCCCTGACGGGAGTTAGCAAGAAAAAACGTCCACATCTAAGACCATGCATTATGAACTACCTATCGGTCTATTCCCTGCTCCCAGATCGACGATCGCCTATCGGCGAATCGAACTGGAAGTTGGGAAGACATTCTGAAGCTTAAGAAAACGTGCGCCGAGGGTACGTCTCCCCGAAACCCCACATACAGTTTGTTACTGTTCTTCGACTAAATAAAGCGAATCGAATGGGCTCACCTTCTCGAAGAGCTCTCGCCGCTTGCCGACGTCAACGTTGTTGAGGCCGGGGCGCGGCGGGGGCGGTGCGCAAGCGGCGGGGGCGGAATCGCGGCGCGGCTTGGCCGGCGGAGGCGGCGGCTTGGCCGGGCGGCGGCGGCGGCGGTGACGCGTGCCCGTTGCGCACGCGCGTCTCGCGAAGTCCACGTAGCTCTGGATGGCGCGCTCGTACGTGTATTCCTGTGGCGGCTCCGCGGGTGGTTCCGGGGAGCCGTTGCTGCTGCCGCTCGAGTGCCCGTTCCGATTGTTGTTAGCCTGTTGAAGATAACAAATGGGGTTTCATATGAAGTATTCAATTCGACATTCCGTAAGCATTACTTATGACTAATTACGGTGTAAGACGAAAGTTACAAAGTTCTAGAGCAGATATTCTCAACGTGGTTGGTATCGACCCCTTGGGGGGGTCAATGAGATTTTTTAAAAGGGTTCAATGAAGATTAAAGAGTCTACAGGGGGTCAGTAGCGGAATATGAGTCCGCCATTGATCAGTAGTTCAAGTTTAAGTTCCCATTGTTTATTGGAATTGTTAATGAAGTTTATAATATTGTTTTCTAAGTATAGCTACAAAAATCTAATAATAAATTACAAATTCGCCCTTCTTCCGCATTTTTTCAATTGGATTCGTAAAACTCAAGAAATTATAGTTCTGAATGCACGACGTTGCTGTATTGTACAAGAAAATATTCTCCGCGATACTCCTAGAACAAATGTTAGGAGCCATGTCAGAACAGTTCAAAAACGCTCAACATTTTGTTTCCATTGCACAATAATGAAAGGTCAAATTGACGAGAATAAAACAAAAGATGATTAAAATAGCAAAACAAAAATAAACACTTATTCCTAGAAACTGCAACACGAAAACGAAACTTGACTTTCTGAATACCCTGACATTTTCATAATTATGTGAATTTTCCTCTTTGTTTGTCCAACCTGCACACGTCAGTGATCCCTAAAATTCGTAAGTTACGACCGGATGGAAACCAACATTTTGTGGGTCATTAATATTTTGGCTCACGTGAAAAATTCTCTTTGTAATTTTTGCTTTGTCCTACAAACGTTTATTTATACGAATGAAACGTTCTACTGAAAGAATAATTCTGATGTGTTGTGGAGCGCGCACATTTCATTTCACCACCAGCGCAACGAAATGGTATTGATTTACAGCCGTTTTTAACAAAGGAACTTCTGATTTGTTTCACGTTTGTTTAACGGTACCATGAACAAATAATACTTTTTTTGTTATTTAAAATCGCATCAACATCTAGGTCATTAGCGACCAAAATAATACTTTGTATACACAATTAATGTCAAATGTTGAAATGGAAAGCAAGAAGGGAGCCGAATGCTGGTAAAGACAGAAGAAAAGAACTCATTTGAACACTTAAATCTTCACAAAGCCTTCTCCAATAGACGGATGCTGTCCCGCTACTGTGGCTCTTACTGTGTAACACTCAGCACACGAAATTCCAAACTTTTTCAAATAACTTAAGTGACGTTTTTGTTGTTCTAGGAAAGGTTTGACTGAATTTCCACCAACTTAATTTTTGCACCATAGGGAATCAAATTTAGCACTGCCGCCACAATTAGGAATAAATTCCATTTACGAAATATATTTATCACACTACAAATCACGTGTTCGTTCTCGATACAATGTAATGATCTTGATGTAATGTAAATGTATAGATAGAAAAAAAATTATGATCACATGATTTGTAACGTGCACAATACAAGTATTGTGATTACGATTGCTAATTCTATTGGATCAGAGATTTCGACTATAGCTAGTCATAGTTCGTGCACGCGCAGAGGCTCGAATGTAGGGTCATACCGTATATGATCTTCATCGCAATGCAAACTTAAACATACACATAACGTAACGTAGCCGCAAACCTAGAAATGAGTTATAAAGCACGACCATTCACAATACCTTGACGTAACCGTTAACTTAAGTCCGTAAACTTGAAGAGTTCACAAGCACCCAGCTTTTACGTTAAGTTTACGTCGGAATTCTACCCACGTCCAATCAGAGAGCAGCAAGAAAGAAACAAAACAAACTTGGTGGAATTCAGATTGTGTTCAGATATTTCGTGGTTATGCCATTTCATTACTACATTGTGCTGGACAGATTGCGAACAGTTTTGATTCGATAGTGAATTCAAAGCATGGTCTTTTGGGTCATTTTTCTTGAGTCTCATTTGACGTGGCGAATAAAAGAATTACGTTCGACGTTGGTACAAGAGAATCCTTGTGTATAAAATAAAAGGACATAGCATTAATATGCTAACAGCTACTCGTATTTATATATAAAGACAAGTCGATAGGAAAATCGAATAAAAAGCTAGGAACCATGGTGAAAAGATCTTTCCATAATACTAGAAACGAATCGACAATATGTTGCTTCAATATGTTGAATTCTGATTGGCTCAGGCGAAACTTATGTTTCAGCTTACGTTCGTCATTGGGAATGCTAATTTTTACGAGTACATTGTATTGACAAGTTTACATTACGTTAAGTTAACGTAAACATAAGCATTACGCATAGATGTAAACATTAACATAAGTGGTAGACTAAAGTATTCACAATGTCTGACATAAACTTAAGCAAAATAAGAGTTTCTATTGACTGTGAGACATTCTAGATTACTATTGGTTTGAGAATCGATTTCGAGGTATCGACTGTGTCCGTGGCCATATGGCGTTAGTCTATCGGCTTCGCTCCTCTTTCGATTCTCGATTTTGAGTTACGGTACTGTGATTGGTTTATTTCTTATGTCTTACTTAAGCATAAGCACAGAAGCTTTAAGGTTGCAAGCTCTTAAGTTAACGTCTAATACGAACGCATTGTGAACGAGTTCGCTTATGGACGTAGTCCTAACTTTTATGTTGACGCCATGCTTTCGCTTATGTTTGCATTGTGAATGAGGCCCAACACTAGGCGCAAGGGGCGTGCGGCGCTCACCTTGGGGCTGCTGGTGGGCGCGGCGACATCGCTGGCCGAGTCGCCGGCCTCGCTGCCGCTGCCGCCGTCGGCGTCGCCGTTGCGGCTGTGCGAGCGGCCGGCGCTCAGGCCCAGGTCGCTCAGGTCGTGCGCGTCCTCCTCTTGGTACATGGGCAGGCTCAGCTTGCGCCCGCGCCTGCGACACACGCGCCAACGCACTCACCCTCTGCGCTAGGCTAGGCGGAACGCGGGACGTAGGGAAATGGATGGACAAGAGACGGGAAAAATAGACCACACACACACACACACACACACACACACACACACACACACACACACACACACACACACACACACTTGCCTTCGCCGCACTTTGATGCGAATAGAGTCTGTAGAATACCTAAAGTACTGTATAATACTGGAAGAAACGCACGTTAAATCTAGCTCTTGCGACGCGTCAATTGTAAGAACAACTGATGTTTCGGTTCATTAAAAAATTAAAACCAACTTTCTAACAAAAATACAACATTGAGTGGATAAAAGATGTTCAGAATTCTTAACAGAATTGCTTTCGATCTGCAGGAATGGTGCCGATAACGGATAGTTATCATAGTTAAGAGTCGAATCTGTGCATAAAATACACAGTAAGGGGACGAAAACTAATGAAGTGGCGTCGAGGGGTACTTACATGTAATTTTCTATGTTTCGAAACGGAATTCACTTTCTTTGAAAGAATAACTTAACTTCTAACGTTTAATAAGTCATTTAGACTGACAACATTGCATTACTGACCATAAAACATTTTTTCAAAAAATGAACAGTTTTAGTTGTTTTTTTGTTATTATTTATTCCCTAAAATTTCATCGCATATTCTCATGCTGCAGAATACGTGGTGGCGCAAAGCAAGAGCGGCAATGCCAAGAAGTCGATAGTCGTAACTCAGCCAGTCATATCTGTCGCTTGTGGTGCTTAAAAAAACACGCCCCACGAGTGCACACAGAGGCACTCATCTCAAAATTTCACAGACCGGTGTAATCTTTTTGTCTATCTTATCGGAGGGAATTTCAAACTTCTCTAAAGTAGAGCGATGCATCTCAGAAATATGATTCACATTTAATATGATCCGACATCATTTCAACAAGACCGCAAAATCTTTTCTTACACTGAGCTACAGCGGGATTAAGCATCGTATTTGTCTTCATTGCACGTGCAGACAGATCCTCTTGGTTGCTCAATATTTAAATATAATTCTTACAATTGGAATTAAAAGAATTGTAATTTCATTTGTTCATGAAGCACAGAGCTAAAATATTAAAATTAGTCATTTGCATAATTGTAGATTTTACGTAATAGATGAGGAATTATTCTTTCAGCTGTACAGCAATTCGTGTCAAAGAAGGCACGAATTAAAATGTTCCAGGCAACAAAATTAAAACATAATTGATTAGAAAAGGTATGTTGGAACCAATCAGTACAGAAACACGCGCCTATAATTAAATGCGGTCCACACGTTCTTCCTTCAAGCCAAATTCCTCCAAACCCAAAGTAAAGTAAATTTACACACTATTTTAGAATCCCCTTTACCTTTCTTCAAACCAATTTAAATTCTTCGTCGAGTTACGACCTGCCCAAAGTCGAGGAATACTGACATGTGTCGTGTAATATCGCTCGCAAAAAACAAGGCAATGCGCATTACAAGTATTTGCTTGGGCTGACGAGTTCATTGGCGCTCAAACAAACGAAAAGCCGTTCAAACAAGCGCGCCGTTCCTATCTGTCCATTATCGCGCGGTCAACAGTTGCCCCCCTCGGAATTCACGGCGGCTTCGGCTGCCAAGAAGCCCTACTGGAATAGTTTTTGCCTCTTTCCTCCAACGCCAAATGAATGACGTAATGCTTGAATGTATTTTTCAACGCATACTTGCCATAAATTTACGAATTATTAGTGAAGCAAGAAAGGGCAATAAGACATGGTGATATTCATTTCTGATCTCATGTGTTTCAACATTAAATTATTGTATTTCACTGAATTGAGACTGGAATCGTGTATTGAACGAAAAATAATAGTTCTTACAAAAATAATTAGATGTATGATTAGTATATATATGTAATGTGAAATTGAAAATAATCCTCAAAAGTGAATGCCATATTGTATATCGAGAACTATAAATTTCTTTCATTTGCATTAAGTACCTTTAATGCATTATATCACTTCTTTATTTCAATAAAAATGAAGATGTTACGGATGTTTGCGGTGATTCTACTAGCTACAAATGAGATGAATCTAATCTCGCATCTCTGTACATTTACCGTCCACAACTTCGCTCTGCCCACCTTTTCTAATTTTGAAACCGTTTCGAGGTCTGAAGATTCCACTCCCGACGGCAGTGGCGCCAGTCGCTCATTAGAAGCACTAATGCACGGCGCATTCCATTGTCTCTGACGTTTGCGTGTTTTTACCAATTACAGAAGGAGGGGGAATCTGAAAACTTTTTCCATTTTTACTGTAGACCATGATGACAGAACGCGGCCAGAGCGGTTCAAAAAGTTGTGGGTTCGAATTGGGCTTGTGGGGTTTGTGTATTCCGTTTATTGAGACTCATGTTTAGAACAAAAGAAAAATATCAGTGCGTTTTTAAAGCCATCTCCTTGAACTTTATCGGCTAACGCGTAAAAAATAAGGCTTTCATGTGTAAATTAATAGTATCTGAAATCGAGATTATTGAAATAAGGAGAGAGGAGAGAGAGAAAGAGAAAGAGAGAGAAAGAGAGAGAGAGTAAGAGAAAGATAGAGAGAGAGTAAGAGAAAGATAGAGAGAGAGTAAGAGAAAGAGAGAGTAAGAGAGAGAGAGAGAGAGAGAGAGAGAGAGAGAGAGAGAGAGAGAGAGAAGCTGCGACTAAACGTTTTTGAGAAAGGGCAATGTTAGTCACTAATGCGTTATGACTTGTGCCGCACGTTTTGTCTAATACGTACTACATGGGTGGTATTGAATTGCATATGCGAGATACTAGTTATTTACATCCCAATGCTTCATATGTTTCCGGTACACGCGTTATGGGTAGGCCAATGATATCTTTATAGAGAAAACACTAATTTAGATAATAAAAACGCGAAAGATACGCGTATGCTCTGTTATTTAACAGTGAGTCAATAAACATCAATATAAACGCCTCCAACACTGAGTAAGAATAACTTTTACTTCTTGAGAGTCGAAAAAAAAACTGAAAAAAATTGTTTGAAAATGGTTTCGAAAGACCAACAGGATGTTAATTTTTTGACGTGCTATAAAAACATTTCAAATTAATAACCGTCAGATTAATCTCCTTTTAATTTGTAAACAGCTAAAAGTTGTACGTCAAACAATGAATGTTGAACTTCAAATTCGCTTCTAATAGGATACGTCTTTAACGCTGATATTTACATGTCAAATGTGATTAATTAACGTAAGCGAATAACATGTTCACGCAGTTTCATATATCTTAGCGTAACACACAGAAATTTACCTTTAACTGCTTAACAGCGTACGTTTTTCATATTTACGTAAGTTATGAATATCTACGATCTCGGAAGAAAAAAACGTTTATTCGAAAACCGTGACTTCCGCATAATACAGAGGTCACAACAATTAACTGAGCAGTGATGTCAACGAACCGGATGTCAATACAAAAACCAAAGGATATGACGTATAGACTTTCTCACGCTACGAACGCATGTCATTTGGATATTTACTACCATGATATTTGCTCCAAATACAGCACGTGTACACGGAAATATAATGAGATAATATTCCCATTTGCGCCTTCTGAAGAAACACTGACCTTCTGATGAAGTTGAAACACTGAACATTTTAAGTTGTTTAAGTATTTAGAAGAATGACTTACTGAGATATCACCAGTTGGCAAAGCATACGAATTACAATTAATTGTGTTAATGTTAATTTACTTTAACAACTCTTCACGTGTAGGGGTTCCATACACTTTAGATTTTAGCGTAGTACCTCTGACGGCTACTACGGGTAATGTTAAAATTTATGAGCTTTGCAAGTTTATATGAGCTTTGCAATAAAACGAAATTTTAAACATACCATAATTACCTGGTTCATCCATCGTCAGGCATATAAAGGTACCCGAGAATGTTTCGACAGAAATACATTTTACACATTTTCATGTTTCATTACAAAAGTATATTTTATTACCGTTAAACTGATAAATCAAGTCGTAACAATGTTTGTTATCCCGGAAAGGCAGATTAGTAATTCTCAGCTTTACGTATGTTACCGTCAAGACACAAACAATACTTGTAATTTTACAATGGTAGTATCATTCGAAGATTCTTCTGTTACCGACAAGAGGGCGAAACTATAAAAGAAATATTATGGGGTCGTCTCATACAGAGATTCATTTGTTGTCGACAAGACAACTCAACATGTGAACTGACACACAGGGGCAGTGGCGAATTAACGAATAGGCAGTACTAGACATTGCCTAGTACCCCGACGATATGAACTTTTTTTAATAATTAAACGAGTCAGACACTAATTTTGTATTATTTTTCAAGGCATTTCGAGCTCATAAATGCAACTATTAAATTCAATGACAGCAAATAAAGCAAGCAAAAAATTAGTACATTTTATACGTGCAAACTATATTTTTTATTACTGAACACAAAGTTACTTTTTTTGTTTACACGTTTTCCGGGACTTCAAAAATGTAGTAAAATAAAATCTTGCATCAAAATGTTTTTAAGATATGTGAATGTATAAATTCAGAATGCATCCCCTAGTAACACATAATATCGTGAAAGTGGCGGTAAAAGAAAAGGGAGGGGGAGGGGCTCTCATTTTGTAATCGCCTAGGATCCCTTGAGTATTAATCCGCTACTGATCAGGGGAATTTTTACGCTTGGGCCATAGAAACCGTGACCATCAGAGGGCCTTGCATACCTCTCCTCCAGGATCTCTGAGAAGGTCTTGCTCTTGCGCCGGGAGCGATCGTGCTCCTCGAGCTCCAGCTTCTTCACTTCCACCACGCGCTCGATGATGTGCTCCTGCCGCTTGCGGCGACTGCTCTTCCAGTTGTCCAGATTCTGCAAGAAGCGCATAACCGGGGCTCGTATCTCTGAATCAGATTTTAGCGTAAGCAGAAGGATTTTTCGGGGAGAGGGGAAGCATTTGATTCAGAACATTTAAGACTAAACTTAGAGACATTTCGTGAGACCAGGCTAAAAAATTTCGGCACACTTGTCATCTCGAGTAGGTGTACATAGATTTTGCTGTTGTTTATTTTAGTTTGCTCATTTTTTATCAATTAAAAACATTATTGTAATAATCCCGAACGTCTCGCTTCAACATCCAGGCGGAATTATATATCATTTCGGGAGAAGATTGAGCGTTTGAAAGCTTGGCGTAATTAATATGTACTTGTGACTTTGATATCATGTCATATCAATAATATGTTTTAAAATATGTAAATTTCAGCTACGTCGGACACTCCGTTTGCCTTCTTGGTAATAATGTGACAAGTTCTAAGCGGAAGCGGAAGTATTGTGCTGGCACAAAACAATTATCAACAATCCATACGTATGAGAAAAATCTGTTTATTTATCGTAATCTTGCAGTATGAGAAATCAAAATTCATGGGCAATAAAACCATGAGTAATCTCGCAAATGAAATAAAGAATTAACCAGCGAGGAATTTTTTTTCCCCCCTTGTTTCTGCAATAATGTATTTGCTGGTCAGTTTTTTGACAGTAACACTTCGACAAAACCATTTCTATACTTCACATTGTTTAGTTTTCAGTAGATTTTATCAGAAATATGTTATCTGATAGTAAAACACTCCAAAGTATGTTTGACATCGAATAATTTTAATGCGCTACCGGGTTTAGAACAATTATATACAAGTATGAATTTTTAAGCTTTTGAGGAGAATATGTAATATTTTCTTAACCTTACATATGTCGATCTATTTTGCTGAAAGATTAAAATAATTGAAGAGAGAAAACATGTAGCCAACACAATACGAATCAATTTTGCATGCATGAATTTAAGGTTGATTCTTATTTGTTATACAAAATAAGTTTAAGGTTAGAGAATACTTCATTAGAGCGAACTGAACCAATGTTATAAAATATCCATTTGCATGGATTGTATTGCTCGCTCTAATTATTTTAAGTCTAATATATAGAACCAAGTTGGTGTAATAACATCCTTTTGGACCTAGTTATTAATATCGAATTGCATGCCTCCTGCTGTTACTACAATTGAATTGGAGTGCGCATCGTTTAACAGAACAAATCGTTCAGGGATTGCAATAGTGGGCCAACTCAAAATATTAGGTGTTTATTTAAATGAGTTTTAAGTTTTCACCCTATAATGAAATGCATCATTCTACCATTCACACTTCTGCCATTTGTCGGTGAAATACTGTCCTGTAAGATATGCAGCTGTTGCTACTGGTAGGTAGACCAGTCAGAAATTCTGGAGAGTGCACTACCTCAAAATTCGTATTTTTTTAACTTGTGCCACTATTGGAGCCCACGAGCGAAATGATTGTCACCCAGCTCATTCACTAGCAGCCCACCTGCGAAGGCGTGAGCACTCACCGACTGCCAGTCCTCCGCCTCGTCGCGCACCTCGGCCTTCATCTTCTTCACCTGCTCCACCTTGCGGATCTGCTCCTGCGCGGAGCGGTACAGGTCGCACGGCCCAACCTTGACGAACTGCAGCGGGTTGGCGGCGGGCTTCGAGGTGGTCACTTTGGCCAGACGCGCCGGCAGGTACTCGATGTTCTCGTTCGAGTACTGCAACAGACGCGGCCGGTCTCAGTTGCCGTTATCAGCTGCGATAAGGCGAGTTAGGGGAAGAGGCAGTGGAGCGGCGAAGGAGGGGAGCGGTGGTTGCTCTGTTGATACTGCGAGGACGCGTCCTTGACCGGAAGCGCGGCAAACAACTCGTGATGAAAGTGGGGAAGGCCGCAGGGCCCGAGAAAGGATGCAAGACAGCGAGATGCAATGTGCTGTACTGAGATCCTAAAGTTTTAAAAATCAATAATAATAGTAATAATAATAATTATTATTATTATTATAATTATTATTATTATTATTAATATTATTATAATAAACCAAGCGAAGTGGCTCAGGGTGTAACGCGCTCACTTCGCAGTCGGGAGACCCGGGGTTCGATCCCCGGGCCGGCCACCAGAACCAGGGTTTTCGTGGTTTCCCCCCGTCATACAAGCGATGTTGGGATGGTTCAAAAAGGTCTCGATCACCTCTCATCATCATTATATCACCTCATAATTCATAATTCACGGCTTAACAGCATTGTCTTACCAAGAGATACAACCGAAAAGCTGATCTCCATAACGACACACGTTGATTTTTCTTCCGGGTAGAATATGACTGGGTTTGGGAGAGGACGTTTAGCTTGGACAGAAATGGCCAATATGCAAATAAACAATAATAATAAATTATTAATTATTATTATTACAGGAAATCGAATTTCAAAACTATTGTGCCCAATATTGCTTGGGTTATTTCAAGGAGAAATCTCCAAATACAATGCATATTCAGTATTGTGAAAAATACTATATAATTTACGTTAATGCAGCGTCATTATCACAGATTTGTAAATGTAGCGTATTAGCATATAGCACTATTTCACCTCAAAAATCTACTAAACGTTGCAATTTCCTATATAATGCAATTTGGAATTTCCCCGGAAGGTATTTTTATTACATTGAATGAAACGTCGCACTAATCGCTCCAATAAGCAATGAGTATATGGGACTAAAACAGAATTAAACATTAGGTAAAAACTACTAACAGCATTTTTATAACCATTTATATAATAGCACACATTTTTTTACGTTGTAAATTGTCTTCTGTATTTATTCCACCAATACAATTTCGAAAGAAATCAAAAGATTTGAATTATTTTAGTGCCAAACAATTTATTTTACAAATTATTTATTTTTTCAATTATTTACTTTCCAGGAACTCCAAACTAGTAGACAGATTTCATTATCTCCGAAAAAATATACTTGGTAGTTTATTTCGAAATTCTACAAATAACAGACACTGCTAACAGTTTTCAAAATGATAACTCCGTCGATTTTTTTTTAATTGACTTCTCACATTCTTTTGTAAACACGCCGTTAACATAACTTGCGCACGTATTCACATTGAGAACTGCTTAATATACAAGTTCAGGGTGAGTCACGTAACGTCAGCACCTCGTACAATTTTTGAACGGTTGAAGTTATTGAAATGCAGTGTTCACAGAAGTGCATGAGGGAATAAGGCTAATTTATACATTAATTCCCATTTCATCACTTGTATTTTACGAAATAGAGGTAAATTTGTTTTTTCTTCTTCAAATATACTAAAAAATATGTGTGGGTCCTACATGAGCGTAGAAAGACGAATCTAATGATATACATACTGTCATACGTTAGAGAAGCAATTGAGTATTTTTTTCCGACTTGTGTTTAACGGATATTGTAATGCCCCAAGCACGCGTTAGCAGAGAGCGCTGCTTGTTGACTTTGGGTGTTGGACTCTTACATTCTAAATATCCATCCTTTAACCCCATTTCCTCATGCACTACAGTGATAACTGCATTGCAATAACTTCAACCTTTCACAAATTACAGGCGGTGCTAAATTCACGTGACACACCGTTTATCGGGAGATCAGTTTGAAATGCAACGCACATTTTCAATTTTGTTGTATTACAGTGCGCCTGGCACTCTGAAAGATAGCGTTCGGAAATACTCCTGCGCCACACATCTGCGTTGCTCTATGCTAAGGCGCTTCGTAATTGAATCGCGTCTAAACTGAGAATGAAGACGCGACCTTTTCCGCTTTGAGCAGGTATGGCCCACACCTCAGGAAGGGCACAGGTGAAAGGAAAGGGGTGGTACGTGAAGGACTGTGGCAGTAATGCAGCTAAAGGAGCTGTCCCAGCAGCAATGTTGCGTTAAAACAGATTACCCAGTTTTTTGTTTCACAATCATTGTGGAGGCGCCAGTGCATAATGACAGCCAACTGCCCCACTATTACAAAACACAAGTAATTGGGTACATATTCATTGCCATACCCCGCGAGTCGAAATCTCGCGTGTCATCAATGAAACAAACACCCTTTTAACCATATTACTCACTACGTCACAACCCCTTTGGCAGAGAACAGATACTCCGTGTGCGACAAAAACATTATCATCGTCTTAAACATTTTCTACGTTCTTTTAAATTTCCAGTATTACGGAATACGATAAATAATATTTACGATCATCGAACGCAAACAATTTTGGATTCGTTGTTTATGGCGTTTTCTTCAGACATTTTTATGCGACAATCACTCATCTTAACGTTGTAACTTTCAGTCATATTGTCTTCCGAGGCCCCCCAAAAGCCACGGGAGACTGATGAAGCAAAATTATGAGTTTCAGTGTTCTTCATAATCCAAGGAACTAATAATGTCGCTAGGTACCGTTCAACACTTCCGGGAACGGCTATCTCAAACATTTCAATTCATACGTAAGCGATTTCTGGAGACAGTGCGCCCATCCAGCATGTTAATTTGAGTTTCTTCCTTATTTGGCCGCAATTAAAATCTTCAAATTGAGGGAAATAGTACATATACGTATGCTCTGTAAAAGATGTATGCAGCCTTTTTTTGTTTCTAACCATTTTTAACACATGCCACATTGCCAAATCCATAGCAACATATCTATTCACATCTCACCACATATTATTAATATTCTACCATATATTATTAATATTCTATTTTTATAAGATCTTTATTTTTTCCAGTGTGCCTCAAAAGTAGAGTCACGCCGAAGGGGGAAGCGCCGATATCGCTTCACTTCCTCCATTTAGTCATGGTCATAATAAAAAACGTAGCTTTTACTAATTTTCTTTACTATCGAAATTTATTCAATGTATTTATTGTCAATTATATATAGAAATTATGTAATATAATTTCTATAATGAACATTTAGTTATAAGAAAACTTCCATTTGCATGAACGCTTTACCTGTTGGTGCCCCCGAGAAAAACTCTGGGTGCGACTGTTCATGAGCTGAGAAAATACGGTCTCTGCTCTAAAAGCAGGGAGGGAGCAAATTCTGAAGAAGATGAGCTATTATCAAGAAGGTTAGAGAAAATCAATTTCAGGATAATTTTGAGATGACTGAAGTTTACAGAAAGTTTTAGTAATGCTTGGCGCTGGTCTTCCGGACACCCAATTGAGTTACATTGCCAGCCACAACCATCCTAACAACTTTTCTTAGCGAAATTAGAAAGTACTAAATAGGTTTCAGATATTATAACTTTGCTTATAATTATTAACGGGGGCGCCGGTGCATATTGACAGCCAACTGCCCCACTATTACAAAAATTACGTGTTGGGTATGTCTTGATTGCCATACCCCACGAGCCAATGACCCGCGTGCCATCAAAGCAGCAAACACCCTTTTTGACATACTCAACGGCAACCTCGCAACCCCTTTGACAGAGAACGCACATTCCTTATTCGACGAAAACATTATCATCTTCTTAAGAATTTTCAACGTTCGTTTACCTTTATATATGTTTTGAATTACGATTCATATTAATTATAAACATCGAATGCAAATAATTTTTGTTACGTTGTTTATGATATAATGTTATTATTTAAAATATGAGAGGATACTCCACAGTAGCAGCGCTTCTATCGGCAAACACAGACACTACAAGCTAGCAAGCCAACCGGCTTCGCGCTCTATCGGCCACGTCCAGAACTCCCAACGAGTCGCACCATTACGCAACCCAACCGAGTTTGCAAAGCAATTAATCGGACCAGGGGGAACGCACGGGAAACCGCGGCGCCGGTCTCCCTTCACGGGGGCGTGCGTCGGGAGGAGAGCTCCATAGCGCGGAGGCGTCCCTTCCGCGCAGTGTGCCGGCGCGCGGGCGTCGGCTCACCGGCTCCGCCGCCCTCACCCATCGATCGTTGGATGGCGGGGGCGGGCCGGGGCGGGCCGAGTGCCCGCCCGACCGTACTTCCGCGCTCGGAGGTCCGCCCCCGCCCCGGACAGCAAACGCCCACTCGCAGGCTGCCGGCCCCGTTGCGTGCAGCGGCGAGTGTGTGGTCATTTACAAGTGCGCTGGATGAGCTCGCTGGTTAATGGTGATGAAAATCATAGGTGTAACTTCCTAGTTCCGGAAAAGATGGGAGGAGAGTTTGGGATCGCGGTAGTTTATTTGCTTGTGTTTTAAATTTTTAGCTTGCCGTATTAAAATGGAAATAAGTGTCTTTGGTAAAAGCACGAGGAAGTTGATTTGGAATTTCAGCTTGATTGGCGAGGAGAGTGGAGTAAGGCCTTTTGAAACGAGTACTCCACGACATTTGTATGAGCAGCGTACATTATTTTATAGTACGAATTCATGGAAACTGAAAAGTGCACTCTCACCGGATCATTCTCAAAATGCAACGCGGCAGCAATGTTGATTCATGTCAGCCCAGTATTTTGTTTCCTTTGTAGAATCCTGTTGTTTTATATAGCTTCTTTGTGGTATATGTTCGGTATTCTAGTCTAGTTTGGCGAATGCCTGAAGCAAATTGACACATTCCACTCAATAAACAGTGAAGGTACGAGTGATACTTATTTCCATGCACGAGTGCTCAAAATATTTTTGTTCGATTTGTGAGAAAGATGCTATAATTTCAAAAAATAAGTGATTATTTGATCCAGAGAATGCTATTATTCATATAACAATATACATGTAGAAAAATACTGTTGTTTTTCTTACAATAATGTTTCCACGTTATTATTTTATTGTCAACATAGATCAACTGAAAATATTATTTAGTTTATCGAAGTAAGAAATATAAATCGTTGGGAGAAAAAAATAAGAAAACCTTCGTTGGCAGCCTAAAAGAGACATACAAAATAGGAATTATCAATCAAAAATCAAATGAGGGAAAATGTATTTTTTATGCGCTAGAAAATAATCAGTTGATTTACAGCTAACATTTCGTGGGTTTTTCATTTAATTTTCAGTTAATTCATCAGCATTAACACGCACATCGTTTCGAATCACAACCTTTCATACACTAGCACACACATGCACTATTCATTCCTTTGCTTTAGCCCTTTATCAAACAATTCGCGCGCGAACGAGGCCGAGAGGAAGGGCGGCGCCGGCCCGCCCAACACCGCACTTCGCTTGCTCGGCGCGGAGCACTTTAAACCAATAATTTTAGGGAAAAATGTATCTTCAATCCATTCCTAATGGAGAGTTAAATTAACAGAATGTGGGACTGCATGTAGTTTTCAAATGGTCAACCCCCTAGCACACCTATCTGCTTATTTAAAAAATTGATTCAATTTATATCGGGTTTTGGTAACAGTTGTGTAGCACGATGTTACATCGAGGTATCGTGGCTATTGAGCCGAATCCGTTGTTTCTTGAGAATATTTTGGACGATGCGATGCTTTTTTCACTTACATAAGTAATAGTAACCACCACCTGCCCCTAAAATTACCCAAATATTGATGTCTTTTGAAAGATATGCCCTACGCACAAGAGTTAGAGTTATGAAATTCTTGCAAATGTGCAGCAGCTATTCTGAAAATATGTGAGATATCGCTTGTATATTATAATTAAACAGGCACGTATTCGTGCACACGTTTTTTAAAAGTTGTAGAAATATTGAAAGCGTATGAAGGGAATAGGCTTTGTGCACGAGGGTATTATGTTTTAAACATTTTGTAAACATACAGCTATTTTGAAATTATCACCCACAGTGTCAGAGGTTGCTTTTTCAACGCTCACCACTTTTCAACGCTTAGTCATCTGGTAGAATTGGGCGGACGTTTATTCCTCCGATAGCGGATTTTCCCTTCACCAATAAGCTTCTGTTGATTCTTTCGCATCAACGTATATCCCTAAAATGCGTCGCAGCTATTTTATTTATCTACCTTCGCAGATCAATGGTTTCCGTGACCACGCGAGTTGTGTTCGACTAGTGTTTAGTTGCGATCAAAATTGAACATCGAAAAGAAAAAAAAATTGCCAGTCGCAGATTCAAATATTGAACCCAGATTTTTGATTAAGTATTGCACAAACAATTGTTGATTACGAAGAAAGCTCATCCGTCCCATTATTTTTTAGAATTTTGTCATAAAATTAAAAGTCGGATAAAATGTGTTATTTATTTTAATACCTCACTCAAACACAGAAATAAAATAGCCTATTATATCACTTTCTCATTTGTGCTGAATCTGTAGTTGGCCTATGTTAACCTTTACACTTGAAACGTATTGTTACCAGGGGAGCGGCGGGAAGTTTCCTATTGGTCAAAGGAGCCGTGGACGAAAACAGTTTGGAAACACCTGAACTATCAAATTCGCCTTGACCAAGAGAATCCTAGTGTCCGGGTGACTGTGAGGCAATCCCGCTGCAACGCCAACGGTTCTCTGCTTTTCTTTTTACCCCCTCTCCTTCTCCTCCTCTCCCGCCCACGTGTCCCATTATGCGAGTGCCTGCAGTCCACAGGAAACGGGTAACTGGTTCGCCCGCGACAGTGCCACAAGCTACTCCCAACAGCCGCGCTGGCTTCCTTAAGCTCCGTGACGAAAGCAGACCAAGTTATTTCCATTAGTTCGCATAACGGATCATATGCAAAAAAACAAACAAAAAACACTATTCTACAAAAAAATTTAAGTGAAGTACAACAAAACACTTAATATGTATATATTGGATATCCGTATCCATTAGGTGACAAATAATAATAATAATAAATAATAATAAATAATAATAATAATAAATAATAATAATAAATAATAATAATAATAAATAATAATAATAAATAATAATAATAATAAAGAATAATAATAAATAATTATTATTATTATTATTGCCGCTTTCAACAAGCATGGTATTGTTTTTTTTACGGGTTAAGACGATTCTATGTCTATAAATAATATTACATTTTAAAATCTTCATGATCCGGCATTCATACATTAAAACTTTAAATCATATCCAGAACTCTGTAAAATATCTTTTGAACAAAACAAATAAGAAATAAATTGACACTCATAGTCAGTGCGTAATTTTTTATCTTTCACGAATAATGAACTTTATATTTCAACGTGTATGACGAACATGTTTATTGGGACTCGCGTCACCGCCTTCAGAAAACTGTTAATGTTATCTACACGTGCACAATTAAGACGTTTAAAGAAAACCTCTAAAAATGTTTCGCGTGAGATCGAAGGAAGGAGAGGTCAGTATAAAAGTTATGAAAAAGGAGCAGTTGGAAAGAGTGACTGAGAATGATGTAGGAGACGGGTCAGCAGAAAGGACTTTTTATATTGCAACCACCTGCTCCGGCGGTAGCAGAATTGGAAGGATTCTTTTAAGGAACGATTCCAGCACTACGTGGTAGAAATTCAAGTTATTATCTTACTTTAATCCTGTTATAAATTCTACACGAGAAAATGAAGAAGAAGAGGAAGAAAAAGAAGATGAAGAAGAAGAGGAGGACGAGGAGGAGGAGGAGGAGGAGGAGGAGGAGGAGGAGGAAGAGGAGAAGTAAGATGAGAAAAAGAGAGGATGATAGAAGGAGGAGGAGGAAGATAAGACGGAGATAAGAAGATGGAGGAAGAGGAGGAAAATAAGAAGGAGAAACAAGTAACAGACGTTTATGTCACGCCTCTTAAATGCATTCTAAAGACAAATGACAGCTGTTCGTGACTTTCGGTTTCTTTTATAGGAGTGATTGCGTAAGTGGCGGATCTTCCCTTTTCGTTTTTTAGAAATAAAAGTAATATTCTGTGATAAGCAGCATGACATTCAGGACTACGCAACACAGAAATACTTAATGGAAAATGTAATTAATAAATATCAGTAAGTTACGAAGTAACAGAAAGAAAATATCAAAGTGTAAACCACGTTATTTTTACTTTTGGTATATTGAACCCAATGCGACAGTAACAGTAGTGTTAATATCTACGAGAACTGGAATTAAACTTCACGTCATCTTACGGCCGAAACATCTCATGCATTATCGTATATAGAAGGTGCTCACTAACAAAGACCTAGTCTCAGCTCTGAAGTGAAGATCGTAAAAAACGCGGCTACAAGTTGATGAAAATATTACCAAGATTATTAAGCTAATCACCGAACATCGATACTAAAACTAGTTTTATTTACACAAAAATATAAATGAAATTCAGGTAACCAGATTTAGATAATTTTGTTGTTAAAGTATACTTGAATTACAAAAAATTTAAATCAATATTAAAGTTCACAAATCAACCACTAGAAAAATAATGAAAAATACAGCGATTTTTTAAACAATCATTGTTTGTAGAATACATGGTTATCGACGTAGCATCCCTATTCACGATAAACTTGTTCATACTTCAATCTTCGAACCATGTTTTTTAACTTTGTTGTGTTTTATCTTTCCTTTCCCCTCCTTATTCTTTCTTCGAGCTTTCTCCACGTTCTAACGCTTTAGGAGCGGTTGAGACAAGTCCTTATCGCGAATGAGTGTGGCTGGCGGTGTCGGGGCGAGCGAGGCGGCGGCAGAGACAGAAGCGGAAGTGGAGGTGGAGGCGGAGGCCGAGGCGGGGGCGGAGGCAGGGGGCGGAAGCAGGGGGCGGAGGCAGGGGGCGGAGACGGGAGCGAAGCGGGCAGAGGCGGGCGAGAGGCGGGGGCGGAGGCGGAAGCGAAGGCGGGAGCGAAGGCCGGAGCGAAGGCGGGCGAGCGAAGGCGGGAGCGAAGGCGGAGCGAGAGCGGGGAGCGACAGGCGGGAGCGAAGCGGGAGCGAAGGCGAGCGAAGGCGGGAGCGAAGGCGGAGCGAAGGCATAACGGGAGCGAAGCGGGGCGGAAGCGGGGCGGAAGGCGCGGGGCGGAGGGCGGCGGGCGGAGCGGGGCGGAGGCGCGGGCGGGAGTGGAGGCGGGGCGGAGTAGCGGGAGATGAGAGGGCGGGGAGGGGGCGGGGGCAGGCGAAGGCGGAGGCGGGGGCGGGGGCGGAGGCGCAAGACGCGTGGAGCTGGCACAGAGCTGCTGACAAGGGTTTGCGCATAGTTGCGTGCCGGCGGCGTCTGTACCACGTGTCGACACGGCACGGCAGCGCCTCGTAGGCTACGTCATCGCTCCAAAGGACACGTCTCGCGTTCGTGTCGATGTTCTAAAGAAGCTGCGCCGGGGTACCAACAAGGTGCAGGATCAGAGGGGATGTAGCAAGTTCCGAGGACAAGCTAAAACGACCCATTCACTGGCAAGCCAGGCTTGTCGAGCCTGCGACTAGGCGGTTGTTAAAATTGTCGCCTAGGTCTGGATTAATACCTCAAGGGACTCTAAACATAATCAAACAGTGCGGACGCCCTCTGTGGAATTACGGTATGCTGAAAATAAGTAATCAAAATAAGTATGCAATTGAAATTATAACTGTTGCAATTTTTATATTTATTAAAATAAAAAAAAGTAATATTTACACGTACAAAATGTAATTTAAAATTATTTTTGACTACACAGATAGGCCATTTTTTCGTTGTTATATAACCTGTGATTTAAAATGTGAATCCATTTGAAATTCTTTCTATGGTTAATATTATCTTTTCATATTTATGAAATAATGTAAAATGTTGTGTAATAAATTATTTTGCGTCCTAGTTTTTGATATTAAACCACACCTACCGTCCACCTCTGCTACTCCTACACCAATAAGCATCAGAATTTATAAATACATGTCAAAGAAAATATCATAAGTTATGAAGTGTAATTCATTTTTTATATTTGAAATGTTAAATTCCACTCTAGATAAAATATTTTTTAGATGCAAAGTCCATTTCTAAACAGTCAACAATATTCTTATAAAATATATTCTTTTTTTTATTTAAATAGCCGAGACAAAAAACAGACATAACTGCAGAAACCGAAATTGTAAATGTAACTTTGCAAAAACTCGATGCTTCAGTCAGATATTGAAATGTTCATTTGATATTGCAGTGTGGGCTCAAAGACATTATTCTTCGTCGTTCTCGGAGCGCCAGTGAAATTAACGAACTCCTGGGCATTAAAATCATCCTACCTTGACAGAATATTAAAATCGTCCTACCATGTCGCACAGAACGATTTGATTTTATAGCAAATCTACAAGCAAAGTAGTAAATCGGACAAATTATTGATGTTTTTGAACACGTCAATACTGCATTCTTCAGAGATGTACTAGTTGCATTGCTTCAGCAATACAGAAGAGTGATGAAAAGTATATTTGTTTATTTACTATCAGAAGCTGATCGGGATCACAAAAGTCCGAGATAAAAGCAGAGGAGGCACAGTTTGGGATTCTTGGAACAAAGACGCAGCGATTACTCAGCACCAGTGCATGAAGTTGCGAATTCCGGATAGTGATGAAACTTATCTAGTCGAGAAGCCTATATCACGTGGCGCAATATTTGTATATGTTAGAGTGTACAAGTCATTTCACGGCCTGCAATTCAAAGATACATTTATCTTCTTTTACGATACGACAATGTTCGATTATCTAAATGGTCTCAGTTAAGTAGTCTGTAACAAATATTTTAGAATTTAAAATGTTCTCATTATGGAGACTTCAATACTGATCTGAGTAAATGGATTTAGTTTAATCCGTAACTTTCGAGTTACACTGTGTGCATTGTAATAAAAAGTGTGTTCATGAACGTCAAAAAATGTATAAATAAGGACATTTATAGCACAGCGATAGCCATTTCTTAATTGATTAGAGAAAAAATGTGTCACAGAAATATTCTTTATTAAACTCTTCCTGCAGCATAATATTATTAAAAATTTCCCGAACGAATATCGGTTATCTTCAAACAAGTGTCGAAGGTCACATGTTTACGTTTTATACGAACTCTAACCTTTAACTTCTGAACCTACGTCGCTGTGGGAGACCCTTTCGAAGATATAAATTATGAGGAACCGGATTGACTAATAAATACGCTGAATGCATGGAATCGATGAAAGTGTTTTCTTTATAAAAATTGCAGAGATAGTTCATCATTTAGAAATCATTGTATTCTGAATAACTACTTTAAAACAACACTAAACGACGCCATAAAAAAAATTATTAACGCAATGGGATTACCAAAATTGGATAATATATACATTTCTATTTAAAATTCCCCTGAAAATTTTTAAAGAAAGCGAAATGAATTTGATATATTAGTATTGAAATGTGTATATATGTGAAAATTCTACTTTTCATACGAACTCTTGAAATATATAGCAGCGGAGCAGCAGTATTATTAATTATTATTATTATTAATTATTATCATAGTCTTCCATCATGAAAATTATTTTCGTGATCATCAACAATGAATACATTCGGAACCGAACGTACAATAGCCTTTCATAAAAACGCAGTGCCTGTTGGAACACGTTCCACAACATCGAAATAAGTTGTCAGAAACCCCTTGTGTAAGTCTGGGGCTCTCACCAATTTGGTGGCTCCACCGCGTACTCAACTTAGACATTCCGAGCTACGAATGTCTTTCATTAACACGAGTACACGCAGAGCGTCGTAGGGGCCGAGCCGGTCCTCAAAGGCAATGCTCTAATCTGTCGGAGCCCGTAGCCCTCCACGTAGGCGCTTGACGTCGCGACACGCACACGTCGCTAGCGAGCGCCTCGACGTACTTCATGGGTGCATTAAGACGGGGCGTCCCGTGGGTGTACGTGGCTGCGGGATGTGACGAAGGCCACATGAGCGTCCTCCACAAGATAAGTCACTCGTGCTCAGAAAACCGACGACGAGAATCGTGTTTCGTCGGCGACTCCTATGCGACGAGAAAGGAGGTGAGAAATGAAAAGAAGAGCATGTATAGATAGGCACTTGCAAACTTCCTGTACACTGAGAATCGCACAGATGGAAACGCACCGAAAGCAAACGACTCACTAAAATTCTTTCGTATTTTTTTCGCTTCCGCAAGATCATTAGTGGTTGAGGTTGAACGTGCGATGGTGTCTTCGTCCGTAATTCCTTCGACGACCATCGAATTAGTTCCAAAACCTTGCAAGGAGGGGCAGGGGGCGGCTGCCAGACCATGATGTCGCTTGTATTCTCCAGTGTCGAACACTTGCAAAGGAGAATCTTTTCTTACACAAACCTCGAGGATATTCTTCGTGCCTCTGCGAACACGGCCTTTAATATTTGCACCTACCGTTGCTTTTATTAAAGTTTGCGAAATTACGTCGGGACTCTCGGGTATTCTCGGTAGTGGGAGAGAAGTGACGGGACTTCAGACCCTGAAAACACGCTTGGGAGAATGTGACAAGTAGAATTTCGAAAACGACGAGAAATCTATGGGAAAGAACCCAACACGGAAAATCCGAATCAGATTAGCCGAGTAAAGTTTGCTCACCAGCACCAATGAACCCACTTGAAAACATAACCTGTCTCATCTCAGTGTTGGGCAATTCGTACTACGCCCACAAAAGCAATCACAGGAGATGCAAGACGTTCACTTTTCTTTGACCCGCGGTGTGGCAATCCTAAAGAAAATGATCAAGGAGGGAATTGGCAATTTTTCTACAGGGGGGGGGTATGTTCAAAATCCCAGGAATGGACGAATTGAAACAAGACCATATTCCCTTGCGCAACATAATCTGGACAAATTCTAGGGGATGTTCTTAGAAAAGTTTCATTTTCTTTTATATGAATATTTCAAGGGGTGGAAATCATAAATGAGGTACGTAGATATGAATGGTGACAAATTATCACAGAAATTCGGTAGTCCCCTGGCAGGGACTACAGACTTTCCACTACGATCTCTAAGGGAACTAAAATTCACCAAGGGAACGGGGGGAAGGGCACAAAGACATGCATACTGGGAGGACAGCGGGCCGTGCTACCACCCTCCCCCCAACTATTTGAGAAGGGCTGCGTAGCCTTAAGTCATAAAAAATGTTATTTCCTTTTATAGGTCGAATATGAGATGAAATAGCGCAAAACAGAGATACATTTTAAAATTTACTAATGGGAAATGGATGAACTTAGTCTACTAAATTTGTAACTCAATGTGTATATGTAAGTATGTAATTTTGCCTTATTTTTAGGAATATATGATTTGAAAAAATTCGAGCTTTTATTGTGTTACGTAAGTCGACTCTTGCAGTTCGGTATCTATTTACTCGTCGACTCAAAAAATCCAAAATCGTCCGAAAACAAAATCAGTTTCGAAAATCAATCCGAAAAATGTGCGCAACTTGTACTCGATCCCTCTTTCAACAGCCCAAAATACATTTAAAGAATTCAAAAACACACTGAAAATTGTTTTACACGTAAAATATAACATATGTAAAAAAAGTTTAACGGAACAGGGGGCCCAAAACAGACCCCCTTTTATTTCACTCGCACCACATCCATGGGATCCATGGCACTCACCTCTGATCTCACCCTGATCGCAAATAACAGCCGCAGTACGCAACGCCTGGGGTGAAACGGCGTGCAAACGCTGTCGACTCGCGGCGCGAGAAATGAATTTAGCTTTTCCCAGTAATTCCACTTTCTCTGCACGACGATAACGATCACCGCCAGGACGGACCTACGTAACAGCGCGGCGCGTGGGCTCATACGCGAAAAACACCCCGCGAGCACGCTTTCTGTGCACCGAGCGGGGCCGGTCGTGTGCGTCTATTGCTTTCCAACGTGCGAGTTGCCTTCGCGAAAAGAACAAAGCGACTGTTTTGTAACATGAGTTAACTCTACGAGGAATAGAGTGACATGCGAAAAATCTCTGAAGTCGGCTTCTTCTTAAAAATTAAATCTTACTGAAAGTCCAGAGAATGTCAGTGTGACAGTTTCAAAATTGCGAAATAAAAAACAAATAATTGCTGTAATAAATGTCAAAATTTATATTTTTGAAGCTGAAATATAGCCTTCACGTAATATTCGTAATTCACAATAATTATTTTGAAATTTAGTTGAACTCAACGAGCACATTTGCATCCAAAACAGAGTGTTAAAAAAAACAAAAAACAGTATCTTTCAGAGACGATGGCAACAATTACAAAATAATTACGTGCAAATGTTCTTAGGACGCACTGTGTTTTACAGTAGCTTTTATTATCAGTTCAAAATATAAAATAAGGTTTATTATAAATAATAAACCTTATTGATGTTTTATATTGATTTTGGCCAATGCGATGTGATAAGGCGTATATTATAAGATTAAAATTTAAGTAAAGGATAGGAAAATCAAGGAAGTTTAAGTTTATCCTAGGTAACGCGGAAATATAGTGGTCATGAATGGAAGTTTTCTGATGTGATTCTGGCAACTGCATCAGGGTTTAGAATCGAAGGCGAAAAAGCTCTGTATGACCCATCTTTCAATTGGACATTGGACTTTTCGTGTATAATCAAGTTTTTGTGAATTCATGAGTCGTGACATACTCTCCAAGATTTTAGAAACAAACATTTTCTGGAGATTGTGTTGAAAATTTCAAATGAAACAATATTTTAACGCAGTTCGAAAAATTAGCAAGAAAACGAAGCAGACATTTGGATATAAGACTTTATGAAATGATGTTGCCTATGTTACCAATCCAATTAGAGACCTAAAAGAATTCAAAGAATTTAATTCCCCCACGTTTCCAAGGAGTCCGTTGAATTTCGTCCTCCCTTGCCTACTTCCAGTAGTTACATTTCCTTGTAAATCTTTCTAGGAGTTTCTCGTGCGACTTTTCTTGAAAATGGTGCCAAGCTACGTAAAATATATTTCATTCAGACGCCAAACGGATATTCATTAAGTCTTCTCTTTTTGCGGGATTAACAAGTTCTTGGGAGTCGGTGTGACGCTCCTCTCGTCAGACGATAGAAAGTAACTACGGCCAGCTGAGTGTTAGGAACTTATTCGCTCAGTTTGCGGTGAAAACATACCCGTGAAGAATGTTTTCGGAGACGTATTCAGGTTACGTCAATACGTTAATTTGGTTGATTTATCTCATGATCAATGTTTGCTCAGGACCAAAATGAAAGTTGTTGGAAGATCTTCAGGTGTCTTGGAAAAGAAAGTAAACTTATTAGGCAACTGGAGAATTTGCGGCTTGAAAACCTGTATTTACGATAAGGGTTAGATAATTAATCGATTATCGAAAATGCATTATTTTACTAAATGTTTCGAGAGAAAACTCTAAAATTCTCCGATTCTCATGATTTCTCGACTTGTGTAATCTTTACTTTTGGAGGCTCTGAAAAAACCCATATCCCTGATCAGATAGATTCATTGTTTAATTTTTGTTAACGGGTAAATACGAAGCGAAGTACATATCTGGCTGTTCAAACTAGCATTATTGAACTTCATAACATAACATAAACATAATGCAAAATTCGGTAAAACAACACCAATGAAACTGAAATACGAAAATCTTGTATGAATAATCTCGCTTTGTACAAATATAGTAAACTAAGATTTGAAAATGCGCTAAGTATCTAAAAAAGTAAAGTCTCTCCAATTCTTCTCAAATTCTCCTCACATTTGTGTTAAAACTCCACTATCCATTGACACATTGAATCTTTCAACATTTCAAAAACTTTAAAACGTATAGTCATTTCGGTATTTTCTTGTGCATAAGTATTGGTTCCGGGAGCGATTGTTAACATCACCTAACTGTTAGAAACGTTGCTCCGAAGGGTAAACGGTGGTGACTCATCACGATAAGTGAACCGTTTACAGTGATTGGAGGCTTGGACGATTATGAATGAGATAACAGGAAGTGAACTACATTATTCAGATTATAACACCAATAAATGTCAAATTCGTTCACCCAGGATGAAAATGACGATTGGATTAAAACTTAAGAGAGGAGCGATTTTAAAGGTTAAATGAAGTTAGGTTGTACACGGGATATTGCACCAGTTTTGTTGTTTGGAACACCACGAAAAACTTTTAAAAGTTTAATAGTTACTAAAAGAGCACAGTTTTCAATCATTAAAATAAAAACTTAAACTGCAAGCACTTAGTTTGTGGCATGGACTAAACAAAAATACAGGACAGATGGGATGGGGCTCCTTTTTCCTGAGAACAGGATAGGCGCAACGCCCTCGATAACGACGTGAAATTATAAAGCATTTCCACCAATAAAATTTATGCGAATTACTATTACTAATAAAGCAAGTAGGTGCATTTTGAAAAGTTAAATTACTTACGTGGAAAATTTAAAAAAAAGCAAACTATGGCGGGTAGAGGAAGGACCATGGAGGCAATGCCACTCTTCCCAACGTCAACAATGGTTTGTACTTTTACTAAGTTTATTCAAAAACTGTCAATTTATTGATCAGATCACATCCACACATATATTCCCATTATAAACACATGTCTTTTGTTAATTTCAGGCCAACAATTTTTAAAACTTAATAATAAAAAATAATTACTATTATTATTTTATTTTATTATTATAACATATTATTATATTTTATTATTATAACATATTATATTTTATTATTATTTTATTATTATTTTATTATTATTATTATTTTATTATTATTATTATTATTATTATTATTATTATTATTTCATTTAGTTCAAAAATATTTGTGGGCGGAAAGACGAACTGAAATCCCCCCCCCTCTCTGGATCTACCCCGGTACGAACACCCACAAATAACGATTGAACGAATAATTGTGTACAACGTGTTCATCGACTTCGGGAACCTTCTCCACAGATCCTCCGAAGTGCCAGGCTACGGCTCCTGGGTGTGCGGGCGTGACTCACCTGGCGCGCGGCGGGGCCGGCGTCGGGCAACGAGCCCGAGGCGTCAGACGAAGACGACGTGCTGTGGCGGCGGTCGCGTGTGGCGCCCAGCGCCACGGCGCTCGCGTCGGGCGTGTGCGAGTGGCGGCGGCTGCCCACGCCCGTGGTGCTGCTGCTACCCGGCATGGCTGCTGCTTCCTCCTCCTCTCTTCCTCTCAGTGCTGCTCCCTCCGGCGGAGGAGCGAGCGCGCTGACGTTCGGACGGGGGTGTGGCGTGGCGTAGTGTGGTGTGGAGTGCTGTGGTATGGTGTGGCTGCGCTGTGCGTGCGGCTGAAGCCGCCCCGGCGACGGACGCTGCCCTGCGGCGCGCCCTCTTCGGCTGTCTTTCTTCCTCTCTCTCTCTCGCTCGCTCACAAGATGAGGCGCCGCTGGTCTACGAGCCCATCGTCCAGCGCTCCCTGCAACATCCGGGGGGAGGGCGCGTCAGGTGGGAAGAGCGATCTGATGCTCCGTGCGCGTGGATCACTCGGGCGGGGCGGGCGGGGCAGGGCAGGGGGGGCGGGGGCAAGGGCGGGGGCGGAGTGGGGCGGAGTGGGGCGGGGCGGGGCGCGGGCGGGGGCGGGCCGGTCGGGCGAGGAGCTACTTGGCCAGCAGGTCATATTGAAGTGGCCGTCAAGGGCTACACGCGCTCTTAAGCGAGGCTTGTCTGCCTGGCTTCTGCCGGATGTAAATTGGCCGCTACGTGATTGTTTCCTCAGAGAAGCAATTAGTGGGTTATCGAGAGAGACAACCAGCATTTATATTTACAACCGGCACAAACCTCTGGGCTTTGCAAGCATCGGTTGAAAGAGTGTAGGACCCTTCCAATTCGACAATTATTGTCGAGTACTATAATACTATTCAGTGCTTTAGAAGTATGCAATAAACCTTGTTTTCACAAAACAATGGTGGATGCAAGAACGACCAGGGAACCCAGCCCTCCATTCCTACCTAAAGTCAACATCCGTTTGTAATTTTATTCAATATACTTTTATAAAATCACCATATTATAATCGTAACATACCCATATACAAAAAAAAAATATGAATATGCAATAATGCACAAATCAATCATCATAATACACGCATTTATTTTGGTTTTAGTTTTTTATTTTTATTTTATTAAATTCTAAGCACTTCCACAAATTCTGACAAATTTAAATGTGGGTACGCTTAACGAGTAAGTTTCTATTAATAGGAAATGTTAGTTGTTCATCATATGTGGTTTAGAGCTCTGCGTATTGGATTTCAAGAACAGCCAAATCCATCCAATAATATAATTAACAAATACAATTCAAATCGTATATTTACGGAAAGTTACCACTGCGGAAAAGAAACATGCTAATAACTTAAATAATCTACACGTAATAGTTGCAGCTATCTAAGCACTAACTAGTATGTCGCAAAACTAAAGAATTTAACATCTTGTTAAATTCTTTAGTATGTTTCCGTAAAACAATTGCAATTGAGTAGCTAGGAAGTGAATAAACATTTCTACCATATTTCCATTTATAATCAGAGTCTATTTTCACCGTCGATGCAAGGTCAGAAATAATACGTTGTTGTAGATGTGTAAGCTGTCACACAAATGACCCACACATCATGTTTACCATCAATATACTATACTGCAAAACAACACACACAGAATATTTTTTCTGTGTTTGTACAGGTACGACTTTGAATGGGCGTGTTTTGATACACGGAGATAATGACATAATACGGATGTAATTTTCTACAAAATTGTTATGCACCACATACTGCGGTTTTCCTGCAATCAACACAGTTGTGGTCTCAAACGAATACTGTGATTGGGTGTGCACACGCCTTAAAAGGAAGGGAGAGTTGGATTGTAAAACGGAAGGCGTCCTTGGGAAATCTTACACACACACACACACACACACAAACATATTCATTCTTGTGAAACATCCCGAGACAAAACAAAGTTACGCCGAGACGAAAGAATGAAATTAGAGTGCAACTTATTCGTCACAGGACGTTGTGCAAATGGCAAAGAAACTTCGCTGGACTGTTTGCTTAGCCGCGAATGAGCGAGTCTTACGAACATACTGCTTTTACGAACATTTCAAGAGAGCAAGAAACGTGTGTTTCCCAACACACTCACAAGATCGAGTTTCAATAATCACTGGTTCGCACTTCCGCTGTAGCACATCAAAGGTTAACGGTTATTCTTTAATCAATTTCTTAGGAGATTCGAGAAATGTGTTTAAGGGTAAAAACATTTGTGCCCAATAATTTGATCGTGAAAATGGGTAGGGATTCTCAGGTCATTTCATTAAATTGTCACTCCCATAAGATGGCAGCGTAGTTGTTTACCATGTTTTGGCATTATTTTTCCTCAAAAAACCAACGTTCGTTTCCCGCATAAAACGTTTCAACGGTTTTGACCGAATGGCTTAGTGCCTTCGGGCAGCGATACAACCAATAAACACAACCAATTCAATAATAATACCAATAATAAATACAACCAATAAACCTTGATTCAGAGCAACCTATTTTTCGAATCTGACTTACAAAGGCAATTGGAGTCATCGAATATTGCAATTTATTTAGGTGAACATCATGTGTGAAAGAAAGAGAAAAAGATTAAAGCAATCGAAGAAATTTCGAACTTCCATCACAAATTGCAGTTACAAAACACAGGAATTTTACGCACAAAACTTAACCTCGAAATACGATCACAAGTTTTTAGCACATCGGATCCGTCCAAACGCGTAATGCAGACTGAACTTCCGCCAGTTCGCGCTACACGAGGTCTTGCACAAGTCCCCTCCTCCTCCGACTCGACGCGCTCCGGTAAAACGAGACCGCGGCCGAGCAACGGGACTCCTCCTCACATCCAAATTCCAGGGAAGGATCCGACATCGGCACGCCGCTGCGCCGCCCCGCGCCTGCCAGCCGGCCGGGTGGCCAGCCAGCCAGCCGGCCGGCCGGGACAGGAAGCCACGGAGCACGAAAGGGTGCTCGCCCCCTGCCACTCGAGCCGCCCCGCGGCCCTTTGTTTCGCGGCCTATGTGACGTGTCGCCGGCGGAAAAAAAGGAAAA